AGGCCTATTTCACTGGGCAAGTTGTAGAACCCCTTTTTAGGTATTCCAATCTCTCCTCTTTTTTACTGAGGTACAGTTCACACAACATGAAACTAACCATTTTAAAGTGTACAATGCTGTGGCATTTAGGACATCCACAATGTTGTGCATCTATCACTTCTGTCTAGTTCTGAAACTCTTTCATCACTCCCAAAGGGAACTCCATACCCCAGCTTCAGTCACTGGCAACCACGAATCCTCTTTCTGTGTCTCTGGTTTACCTAGTCTGGACATTTCATAGAGAGACACAGCCCTACAGGATGGGGCCCTTTATGTCTGAGTTATTTCTCTGAGCATCACACAGAGCAAGTATCTGTGCTTCATTCCTTTTTAATGACTGCACAATATTCCACTGTGCAGTTATTACCACATTTTGCTTACCCATTCCTCCATTGAAGGATATTTGGGTGTTTTCTACCTTTTGGCTGTTGTGAATCATGTAGCCTTCCTTTTAACAAGCATTTTTGTTATTATTTGAATAGAATGCCATAACATGAAAGTGCAGGCTGACTTGATGCTGAGAGAACCCTTCCTGTGTGCCAGGCTCAGAACTGGGTGCCAAGGGGAGGAGTGTGAGCAGAACTGTCTCTGTTCCTCCTTTGCACACTCTGGGACCCTGGGAGAGACAGATTCAAGGAAGCATATTCAGTGTGTCTATCTATGTCCTATGACAGGGACTGGAATCCTGGTGTGGCACTGCGGGCTAATGCACTAGACTGTAAGGTTGGTTTGAACCTCAAACTTGGTGGTTCAAACTCACCAGCCGCTCCTTGGAAACACTATACAGGGTTACTATGAGTCGGAACTGACTTGATGGCACTCATCAACAACAACAATGACAGGGATTGGGGTAGGACTGTTGCTGTTAGTGCCATTGAGTTAATTTTGAACCCTAGTAACCCCAAGTGACAGGGTAAAACTACCCCGTAGGGTTTTCTTGGCTGAGAACTTAACTTTTGTGCCACCCGGGTTCCTGGGGTAGGACTAGCAATGGGATATTCCTCCCCTCTCCATTATATTAAGGCAGAAACTCAGGCATGGGAAGGTTAGGTACGCTGCCTGTGGTCACTCAGGGCCAGCAGTAGAGGTAGGATTGGAGCCTGTCTGTCTGGCTCCATAGTCCATGCTTTCCTCCCCTTAACAAGCTGAGAGTCACTAGGATGAAGTAGACCTTACGACCCAGGTAGGACTTGGAGAGGATAAAGGTAAGAGAGGGCACTGTAGGTGGGAGGACAGCATGGTCAAAGGTGGAGCAGTGTAAACCCACAGGTCAGAACTGGGAGGAGAGAATGAACACATATGAGCCCAGTCATACAGAGGCAGGGTCTTAACCTCTCTGTGATTCAGTTTTCTCATCTGTATAATGGACCAGGAGTCCTTGGGTGGTGCAAATGATCAGTGCAGTCAGCTGCCATGGAAAAATCAGCCATTGAAAACCCGATGGGGCACATTTCTACTCTGACACACATGGGTTGCTGAGGCTCGCTGGCAGCAGGCACTGCTGGCTTCCTAGGGGCTGGTCCTCACTTCCTGTTGCCCCACGCTCCCTCCCTGGCCAGGGAAGACAGCAGAGTTTCTGGTCCCTGCTCAGGTGGGCTAAGGCTCTGCTGAGGCACTGTCCCTGTCAGGTCCTGACCTCGCTGAGAGTTTTTTTTTGGCCATCTTCCTAGACCCATCCTTCTGGAAGACCCTCATGTCCAGCTCCGGGAGGATGGCCAGGTCCTCAGGATCACCAGCAGCCACCTGGGGGACGAGGGGCGCTACCAGTGCGTGGCCTTCAGCCCCGCGGGCCAGCAAGCCAAGGACTTCCAGCTTAGAGTACATTGTGAGCCCTGTCCCATCCCCCAATCCCGCCATGGCGGCTCCCAAAGCTTCCAGCCTGGCTGCCGCTGCTTTAAAAAAGAATAACAGTAAAAATGGGGGTCCTCATGGGAGTCCCCCAGTCCAAGAAAGCCAGGGTGCTGGGACTAGAGGGAATGCCAATCAATCCCTGTTCCCATCCTCACTGCACACGTTTTACTATTTACTCTATGATTATTTTTAAAACTTTTTCTTTACAGCAAACCACTTTCTTTACATGAGAACACATTTATTTCAAAGGCTATTTCATATTTCAACCATAAGTGGAAAGTCAGGGCTCTTGGCATTAATGGAAGGAAACTAAAAGCAAATACCTAAAGATGATAATAAGTCCTTGTCCATGTTCTGATCTACAGAGGGGAGAGTAGAAAGTGCCAGAAAGATTAAGGACGTAGCCCCCAGTGGAGCCCCCTTTGTCTATCAGAATGGAACGAGATTTGGAAAGGGTACTGTAGACCCTTTTAAGTCTCAGTGTTATTTCATGCCATGCCCTTGTACCACCTAAAGTCATCTTGAGTGCCACCAGTGGTGTGTGGTCTGCCCTGTGGGAAGTCCTGATCTAGCCCAGCCCCTCACTTTGCAGATGGGGAAACTGAGGCCCAGAGAGGGGAAGTGGCCTACCTTGGGTTATACAGTGAGTTAGAGGCAGAGTGGGGTCCAGAGCCTGCACCTATGCCCCTCCCATCTCCTTCCGCATGCCTTGTGATGACCAGCTATGCTGCCCATATCAGCATGTTCTTGAGATGACCCCCATTCTCTCCCCAGGACACAATGTACCTACCTCCCATCCCTTACCCACCCTCATGGTCAATGCTTTGGGAAGGGGGGATGGTGCTTTTGGACCACTAGCATGTGCATGCCACTCTAGGGGAGGACGCCAGCTACCTTTGAGGCTCCTTGTGACCAACCCCCCATTGTCCTTCTCAGCACTCCCCACCATCTGGGGCTCCAATGAGACCAGTGAGGTGGCTGTCATGGAGGACCACCCAGTACGGTTCCTGTGTGAAGCCCGGGGAGTCCCCACTCCTGACATCGCCTGGTTTAAGGATGGGGTCCCGCTCCCCATCAGTGCCAAGGCAGTCTACAGCAGGGGTGGCCGGCAGCTGCAGCTGACGAAGGCCCAGGGCACAGATGCTGGCATGTACACCTGCAAGGCCAGCAATGCTGCGGGGACAGCAGAGAAGGCTACCAAGCTGCAGGTGTATGGTACGTGGGCAGGGTTGATGGTCAGAGGGTGGTCTGCAGCCACCTCCACAGGTCAGTGAGAGGTGGCCAGAGGCAAATAGGAAATGGGACTATTGGGTTGTCCAGGGAGAACGATCACCTCAACTCATCTAATTCCCCTCATACAGGCAAGGCAACTGAGGCCAGGTCTAGGAATCCACAGAAGAGTCTAGAATCCAGTGTCCTTTATGCATGGTTTGGGACTTTTCACAAAGCCATATACAAACCTACATGACTACCACTAATAATTTGTTGTTAAGTGCAATCGAGTTGGTTCCGACTCATGTCAACTCTGTATAGGGTTTCTGAGGAGCAGCTGGTGGATTTGAACTTCCAATTTATATAGGGTTGCTGTGAGCCATAATTAACCCAATAGCAATGGCTTTGGTCTTTTGGTTTAATACAGTAAAGGTCTCAGGGTGGTGTGAATAATTAATTTGATGGCTGTGCTGTAGGATAAGCACTGGACTGCAAACCACAAGGTCTACAATTCAAACTCAACAGCTGCTCCTCCGAAACCCTGTACAGGGTGGCTATGAGTCAGAATCGACTCAATGGCACTTAACAACAACAACAACGGAAAGGTTGTCAGTTTTAGTCCACCTTGAGGTGCCTCAGAGAAAAGACCTGGTGATCTAGCCTCTGAATTAGCCACTGAAAACCCTATGGAACACAGTTCTGCTCTGACACAGATGGGCTTGCCATGATTTGGAATCAACTCAGAGGCTGATTTGATTGTTCATTTAATGTGATACAGGGACATGGGTTTGTACCCCCAATTACCAATGAACATAGTGGGCCCAGAGCGGGGAAGTGGCTCTTCCAGGTCACACTGCCAAGAAGTGTTGGAACTGGGCTCGTACCTGCCTGGATCTGTCTCCAAGTTGCACACTTGGAGTTACAGAAATGCACTCAGCCCATACTTCTCCCACCCACCCACTCACCCATCATACACACTGCTCCTCTTCACAGGACATACAAAGGAGAAGAACATGGGGGTAGGGGGGTAGGGCATGGACAGACAGTGTTCAAGCAGGGACCCCAGTCAAGTGAAGAGTCATCTCTGGAATCCCAGAGAACCTGAAGGGAAGCTGGGCCGTGGGGTCCAAACTGTTAGAAGTGCAGGTGAGTCTGTCATCATTGTTCCATATGCTCTAGTAATGGCTCCATCAGCTCAGCAACAGGGCCCTCCCCAGGGGAACGTAGACATTCCCCCTCCAGCTTGGCTGTGGTAGATTTCAAGCACAGTTGGCTCCCTGAGCCATTACTGGCTGCATTAGGAACCACCTGGGCTTGGGCCTGTACCAGACGTCCACTTCCTCAGACCAGAGAGGGACTCTGGCCCTGAACGGGGAAAGCCCATCACACCAAGTTCAGCAGTTACAGAGACCTACTGCATGCAGGCATCGCAAACACACAGATAGACAAAACATCTTTCTACTCATGATGAGCAGGCAGGATCAGCAGTGGGGAATGGAGGGAAGGATGCAGACAGAGAGCAAGCAATGCTCCATGAGTGCCAGCCACCAGGGGGCAGAGAAGGGAGAGGCAGCATCCAATCCCATAGAGTGGGGAAGGCTTCCTAGAGGAGGGGTTCAGGCAGTGAGGTGAGGGACAGAAGCGTATCATATGGGTGGGGCTGGTGAGGGGCTTACCCAGGCCTATTAGGTTGGGTGGGTATCGGCTCCAGGGCCGAGAGCAGGCTGGTATCGGGCTCTCGTCCCTGAGCGGTCCCTATGCCTCTCCCCTAGTCCCGCCCACCATTGAAGGCGCTGATGAAGGACCGCATGTGGTGAAAGCCGTGGCTGGGAGACCTTTGGCACTGGAGTGTGTGGCTAATGGTCGCCCACACCCCACACTCTCCTGGCACTATGAGGGGCTACCTGTGGCAGAGAGCAATTTGACCTGGCTGGAGGCGAGCGGTGCTCTGCAGCTGGAGAGCCTGGGAGAGGCGTCCGGAGGCCTATACAGCTGTGTGGCCAGCAGCCCTGCCGGAGAGGCTGTGCTGCAGTATTTGGTGGAGGTGCAGGGTGAGCCCATCCACAGAAACCTGGGGTCTTCTCCAGCATTTATTGGATGGCTGTCCCCACCCCCCACCCCAAAATTTACAGCATAGGAAACCCTATACAGGGTCATTATGAATCAGATTTGTTTCAATGGCACTTAACAACAACAACAACAATTGTGTGCTAGTCCCTTACAGGCTCATAGAGGGATGGAGGGTGGACGAGAAGAGACAGTGTCCCCCCATTGTGTGCAACAGATGGGGTCACTGAGTCCTGCACTTGGGGTTCCACAGGGCTGGGAGGGGGATGGGTTGGGAATAGAGTCCCAGATCAAGGACCCTTGCTCCTGTCTAGAACTCTGTGCTGGTCCACCAGGCTGGCCGGAGGGCACAGTTTCTGCCTTCCAGGAGGTGCCTGTGTGGAATACCCATTCACTGAGAACCTACTGAAGTCCCAAGGGGTGGGCAGGGCCTTTGCCTGCCCTTTGCTGCCCCTAACAGGCATTTATCAAGTCTTTGCTGTAAGTTGCCTGGTGTGGTTGGAGAGAAATGGGAACAAGGCAGATGGGACTCCTGCTCTTGGAGAGCCCTCAGTCTGGTGGGGAAATGGGTATTAAATGAACAGGCCCAAGTCAGCAGGGGAGGAGTCAGAGGGGGTTCTCATCTGACCTTGAGGGTGGTCCTGGAAGAGGAGCATTTATGGGAAAACTTGAAGGCTGAGTTGAGGGCAGTGTTAGCTCAGCTCTAAACACCCATTTGTGGGTTCTGCTCACAGTGCCTCCACAGCTCCTGGTAGCTGAAGGCTTGGGTCAGGTGACCACCATCGTGGGACAGTCCCTGGACCTTCCCTGCCGGGCCTCAGGCTCCCCAGTGCCTACTATCCGGTGCGTAAGGGTGGGGGGCCAGGGCTAGAAGTGGGTGGCAGAGAGAGTGTGCTTTACGGGTGAGTGGGAGAGGGAGAAGTTTCCCTCTCACAGGCAGGAAAGAGGAGGTACCCTGGGGGATGCTGCTAAGGCTGGCTGACCTGGCCCTGCCCTCCCTAACACAGACTGACCCCCTCCCCACACCATTCTGCAGGTGGTTGCAGAATGGCCGCCCCACTGAGGAGCTGGCTGGTGTGCAGGTGTCCTCGCAGGGCGACACGCTGCACATCGACTATGTGGAGCTGGCCCACTCGGGCCTTTTCGCCTGCCAGGCCACTAATGAAGCGGGCACTGCTGGGGCAGAGGTAGAGGTGTCTGTGCACGGTGAGCAGGCATCTGGGGCTCTGGTGCCATGAACTGGCCAAGGGGTGGGCAGATCCAGAGGGGATGTCTTCTCTGAACAGTGTTGCTGGGCTAGATTTTCCAGTTCTCCAAAGAGTGGTAGAGTGTGGATGACGGGCCTCACTTCTGACACTTATCCCCAGTCTTGTCCAGCCCATAGGCCCTTTCTCCCCCATTCAGCCTCCTTCTCCCCACTTGCTCTCTTTGTGCCTACCACACCGATCTTTTTTCACTTCCTTCAACACATCAATTTTCTTTCTCCCATCCGAGTCTTATGCATGTTGTCTCCTCTGTCTGCCTAATCCCTCCTATCTTTCGTGGCAGTGCCTTCATCAATTTTGCCATGTTGACTCTGCACTGGCCAGTCTCTCGTGGCCACATTCCACCACCCATCGTAGTGGGATTGTTGTTTAGCTGTCCATTTCAGCTGCCCAGCTCTGTGAGCTCTGAGAAAGCAGCCCAGTAGCCACCATTCTCTGCTGTGCAGACATGGGCCCCAAGACGCTGTCTGCACATATAAATAAATGGGTAAATGGTTGGTTGAGAGGCTGTCTAAAGGGTTGGCTTCCAGTCTGGAGCTGTCCCCTAAAGCAGGTATTTGAGGAGCAGAATGGAGGGGAGGCCAGCCCTTGACCAACCCTGATGTGCCATCCCCTCAGTCCCCTGGGTACCCACTGAGCCCTCCTAACCCTGACCTGGGACCTCCCTGCCTTTCCCCTGGCCAGAGCTTCCATCGGTTGACATTATCGGGGGTGAGAATATCACAGCTCCTTTCCTGCACCCTGTGACCCTCCAGTGCGTAGGGTCTGGAGTGCCTGCCCCAAGCCTCCGCTGGTGGAAGGATGGATTAGCCTTGGCAGCCTCAGGGGGCAACCTGAAGGTATGTACAGGGGCAACTGGGCACAGGTGGAGAAGCCACATCTTAGGGACCCTGGAGACCTTGAGGGGAGTCCAGGGGGTAGGATGGGCCTAGTCCTTACCTACTAGGAGGTTAGTAGACCCTGGGGATGTTGGACCTGAAGAGGAAGAGGCCCTGGATCTACTCCAGGTCCCAAGAGCTGCAGCTACAGCAGGGAGAAGATGGGGCAGGAGTACAGCCGAATCCTCTGGAACCCTAAAAGCTAGGCTCGTACTCTACCCCTAGAACTAAACTTAACCCCTGGGTCAAGCAGCAGTCTGCCCACTTGCCATGTACCATGTGGTTCGCCTCCTCAAGGCCCACACGCTTTCCCTCTTCTTCCCCCCAGATTGAGAAAGTGGATCTGAGGGATGAAGGAGTCTACACTTGTGTCGCCACTAATCTGGCTGGGGAGAGCACGAGGAACTTGGCATTAAAGGTCTTGGGTGAGGACCCAGGGCACTGGGGAATGGACAATCCCCAGAGAGCCCTCAGGACTCTGGGAGGGTTAAAGTATTAGCATGCGCTTAATTTTACAAGAGGAGTCCTGGTGTGGCACTATGGGTTAAGCGCCAGACTGTAAAGCTGTTTGAACTGCAGGGTCGGCGGTTCAAGCTTACCAGCTCTCCTTGGAAACCCTATACAGGGTCGCTATGGGTCAGAACCGACTTGACAGCACTTCACAACAACAACTTTAGAAGATGCTGTTAAGTGCCATGGAGTCGGTTCCGACTCATAGTGACCCTGCTTAGTTTCCCAGGCTGTAAATCTTTATGGGAGCGGAAGGCCTCATCTTTCTTCTGTGAAACAGCTGGTAGTTTTGAACTGCTGACCTTGAGATTAGTAGCCCGATTCGTAACCACTACGCTACCAGAGCTCCTTTTACAAGAAGTAGAAGGTCATAAAATTAAAGGGAGAACATTGCTCTGCAGCCCCTTCCAGTTGTTTTCTCAGAGATAAGATTTATGGTCCCTTGGTTCTTTTAATGAAATTTGGTTCATTTTGCTTCTGAATTCACTTTTCAAGGTTGAGTAGAATTCCTACTCCCCATTGTGCACATTGTGTTCCTAGGGAGCTGGGCACTGGGGTTTTTCTTCTATGACTGTGGTGGAGATTGTGCTGCCTCAGTCAGCAGACTGGAGCCAGTTTAGAACCCTGGTTTCCCAGGACTCTTTGGAAGATGGGGAAGGGCATTGGGAATGACTGAGCTTCCCTCAGAGTCTCTTCTTATCTCTTCCTAGTGCCCCCTAACATCGAGCCAGGTCCACTGAACAAGGCAGTGCTGGAGAATGCCTCGGTGACCCTGGAGTGTCTGGCTTCAGGCGTACCCTCTCCTGGTAAGTCCCTTTCTCTTGGCTGAAAGCCCCTCCAGCTGGCCCCAGTTCCCCATCTAATGAGACCAGCAAGTTCCTCAGGCGTCACACTGACTGTGGATATAACCAGGAGAGATCAGCAGGCTCTTCCTCCTAGTTCTCTTATTTCTCTTCTTCCTTCTCAACAGCTGTGTATTCAATGCCCAATATATACAGGTCACTGCCGGGGCCCAGAGCCTTTTCACTGGTGTGTGAAGCAAACCTGTGGAGCTTTTCAGAGTTTGCAACTTCAAATGGCTGCTGCAGAGATGTGGGCAGAGGACCATGGCTTCTAAGCTACCATCTTCTCTAGAACAGCGGTTGAGGGAGTGGCTGGGAGCATGGGGCTGGCCTAGGTGTTTTGTGCACCACATATGGTTAGGAAGAGAACTTATTTGCTGTCCTCCATCTGAACTTGGCCCACCCAGTTTTGCCTGGGATAAGGGAGTCTTTGCTGCTCCCTTGTGGGAGCCCTATTAGGTTCTGGGATGGATCCTGGGCAGAAGGTAAGTAAGCTGAAGATTCAAGGGGTCTTTTTGGACCTGTGTTGGCGTTCTGGTAGGGAGTCCTAGTGTGATGCTGTAGGATAAGCACTGGACTACTAACCACAAGGTTCAAATCTACCAGCCGCTCCTTGGAAACCCTATACAGGGTCGCTATGAGTCAGAACTGACTCAATGGCACATAACAACAATACCATTCTGACTTGTGTGGCGGCTGTTTTGGAGTGGACCATGGTGAGATGATCTCCTGGCAGAGGGAGAGGATAAGGGGGACCAGGCTGGGTTTGACTCTTCCTGCTTCTAGCTGCCCCATCCTCCATCCAGTAGGGGCTTCCTTTCTGCCTTGGCCCCGTCTCAGGCAGCACTGTGCCATTCCACACCCTACCCACTTCCTGGAAAACTCTGGCTTCCTTAAGCGTCTGGAATAAGGTATACCACGTGTCCACCCTGGAAGCCTGTAGCACTGGCAGAGTTTGAAAGGCTGACATGACCCCTGGCATTTTTCTGTCTTTTCTTCCCCAGATGTCTTTTGGTTCAAGGGTCACCAGCCTGTCTTTGCTCGGGCAGGAGCGATGGTATCAACTGATGGGAGAGTTCTTCGCATTGAACGAGCCCAGCTTTCTGATGCTGGGAGCTATCGCTGTGTGGCATCCAATGTTGCAGGCAGCACAGAGCTGCAGTATGGCTTGCGGGTCAATGGTGAGCTGCCTTGGGATTGAAGAGATCCTTATTTTATTTAAATGTTTTATTGTGAATTATGTGATAGTTTACATGGGAGAACACTAGTTTTACATTCATCCTATTGTATATTTTTTCATTGCCATGGTTACAATCCCCTCCATGCATCATTAACCAACCAAAGGGTATATACTACAAGCCTGCCCCCTGGTCGTCAGCGCACAGCCCCTCTTCCTCTCTGTGTCTAGAGTCCCCAGCTGCTCCATCTTTCCACATCATCATCTCTGCCTCTATCTCAGGCATCATTGCTTCTCTGGGTAGAAGAGATCCTTATTTTAAAAATTGTCTATCCATTTGTTTGAACATCAGTCCATCCATCCATCTATGCAGACGTCCAATAATTCATCCATTAATCCAACTCTCCATCCATCCATCCATGCATATAGAAATCCAATAATCTGTCCATTGATCTGACTATTCATCCATCCAACCCTCCAACCACCCATCTAACTTCCATCTGTCCACTCACCCATCCTTCTATCCATTCAACCATCAATCTATCCATCCATCCACATTTATTGAGTTTATGCCCTGGGGCAGATCCAAGGGATAGACTGGAGCCCCAAATGAGACAGACCCAGGAGCTTTCAGCCTAGTGGTGGATACAGTAATTAGATAATTATCCAAATAATTGTTTCATGACAGCTGTGGTGAAAGATGGAAAGGTGAGGTGCAGGTTGCTTTGAGTGCCTGTAGCCAGGGCAGAGTGGCTGGTGAGTCTGGGAGGCATCTGGGAGACCAAGATGCTTAACTTGTGACTAAAGCTAAAGAAACCTGGGGACATTGAGGAGCAAAAAGAGGGCTGAGGGAGCTTGGAGCTTAAAAACAAGGAGAGGAAGGGCCAGGGCAGTGCTGATCAGATAAACACTGGAACTTAAGGGTCACAGGCAGAGTTTGGGTCTTAATCCTAAAAGCAGTGGGTGACTAGGCTGGAGGCTGGGATGCTGGACATCATGGTTCATGCCTCCCAGATATAATTACTTCTTCTGATAGCTGATGTTAAAGAGGGGCTGATATTGTTGGGATGGGAAACAGAACCCATCCAGGGAGCCTCATCCCCTTGCTATCTCATCCCACTCTAGTAATAAATGACCTCATGCTGATCACAAGGTCCCAGTTCAAATGCTGGCTCTGCTACAGCCTAGCTGGAGCCTCAGTTTACCATTTGTAGAAGGCTTACAGTAGTGTTGAAACAGGCCTATGTCCCAAGCAGCTGTCTCTGTGCTTTTATTTGTGCCACCCCTCCTGTGGAGTCCTGGTGTGGCATTGTGGGCTAATGCACTGGACTTCAAGGTTCAAGCTTACCAACTGCTCCTTGGAAACCCTATACAGGGTCACTATGAGTTGGAACTGACTCTATTGCACATAATAACAACAACAACTCCTTCTGTGGAGGTGTTTGGACAGGGGTAGGCTGTCTCTTCAAAGGGAACCCACTCAGGGTCTGCTGCGTCACCCAGCTCAGTGGGCGGCTCTGTGTGGTCTCCACTCTGCAGTGCCTCCACATATCACGCTGCCGCCCAGATTGCCAGGCCCCGTGCTTCTCAGCACTCCTGTTCGGCTGACCTGTAACGCCACTGGAGTCCCCAGCCCCACACTGATATGGCTGAAAGATGGAAACCCCGTGTCTACTTCAGGAACAGCTGGCCTCCAGGTCAGTAAGGCTGGAGGTCCTGGCTCACCCCCCTGGTGCCTCTGTAGATGCTGGATGCAATGTCAGGCCACAGAAGCTTAGAGGGAGGGACAGGCAGTGGCAGCCCAGTTGTTGCCTGGAGGGAGGTGAGTCACAGAGATGTCCCGAGTTGTACTGTTCAAAGATACATTGCTTGACACAAGTGCTGCTCACATGTATAATCTAGAATCTTCTAGTAGGAATCCTGGTGTGGTGCTGTGGGTTAGTTAATACACTGGACTGTAAGGTTGATCTGAACCACAAGGTTGATGGTTCAAGCTCACCATACACTCCTTGGAAACCCTATACAGGGTCTCCGTGAGTCGGAACTGACTTGATGCCACTTAACAACAACAAATAGCCTTGGGAAAATGACCTGGCATCTTGCTACCTTAAAAATTACAGTCACTGGGATAGTTCTTTTCCATCACATGGGGTCACCATGAGTCAGAATCAACAGACCCAACAATAACAACTGTAGCCGTATTAAGGAGCCATGGTGGGAGCAACAGCTAAGTGGTTGGCTGCTAAACAGAAGATTGGCTCTGCACTTCTGTAAAGATTACGCCCAAGAAAATCCTATGGGGCTCTTCTACTGTCACCTGGGGTCACTATAAGTCAGAATCAAACCTGTCAACAGTAAGTGAAGAGACACAAGTACAACCAATTTTAATAATACATTTTTAATCCAATTTATCCAAAATACGATCGCTTCATCATGTGGTCAATATGAAAAAGGTTACGTGAAACATTTCACATTCTTCTTTTCATACTGTGAAACTGGTTGTATATTTTGCACATGGGGCTCATCTCAAATTCAAACTAGCCACATCTGGAGGGCTCACTGGTCACGTGTGGTGCAGGTGCTGCCATAGTGGGCTGCATAGCTCTAGAGGACTCTTGAAGGCCTGTAGAAGTGGCCTGGCAGCTGACAGAGATTATACCTGAGGACTGGGTATAAACTCACCTTTCCCCTGCATTCTGGGGGTCTCGGGGGATCTTGAGCAGGCTGCCCAGGTGTGTTCATCGGTAGGGCCAGCTTGACATGTAAGATAATGAACGTTCAACCCGAGGTGGTCTTTCTTCTGGGGGCACAGGTCTTCCCTGGTGGCCGGGTCCTCACCTTGGCCAGCGCCCGGGCCTCTGACTCTGGCAGTTACTCCTGCGTGGCTGTGAGCGCAGTGGGCGAGGACCGCCGAGACGTCGTTCTGCAAGTCCATAGTGAGTCTGAGGCCAGGAGGCCTGTGTGCTCCAGGCCAGCTCCAGGAAGGTGGGGCTGGGGGTGTCCCCGGCTACAGTCTAAGGGCCAGAGACTGATTGCCTTCCTGTGGCAGAAACCTGTGTGGGGTTCCTGCTTCTCCTTGCATGTGACTCTCCCCTGCCCCCATGATAAGCAGGTGGGTGGTGGGCAGCAGCCTACATGGCTAGGAGCACCGAGTTTGGGCAGCAGGAGTATCACCAGGCCAAGAACCAGGAGACCCAGCATCCCTACTTTTGTGGGTCCAATGATGAAAGTTCATTCTGGAAAGGGCAGCTAGAAACAGACTCTGAGTGTGGTGGGCCCTAAGTGTGACTCCAACCCTGCCTTCTTCACTTACTAGCTCCATGACCTTGGGCTAGCCACTTTGCTTCTCTGGGCCTTTATTTTTCAACTATAACATGGGGTAAAGAAGAGCTTCCATCTCACAGGTTGTCATGAGGATGCATTAAACCCATTGGGCACACAGTTGAGATTGCCATTGCCCTAACCCCCTACTTGCACTTTGGTGGCGATCTGTTGAGGTCCATGAAGGGATTCTGGGAAATGCAGAGCCTTGGTGGGGGGTGGGGGGTGAGAAGTCCAGATTGAAGTGATAACAATAGTGACTGATCCTGTGCACACAAAGTGTACGGTATCTTCTCTTTTAACCCTTACAGCGGCTTCTCCTCAGTTTACAGATGAGGAAAACAGGGCTCAGAGAAACTGAGGAAACATCTCCAGGGCCTCACCCAGAGAGTGAGCAGCAGGCAGGGGTACAACTTGTGTCTTTAACTGTTAGGCTGCAGGGGTCATACATACATATGTGGTGGTTATGTGCCATCGAGTCGGTTCCAACTCGTAGCGACCCTGTATAGAGTTTCCAAGGCTGTAAATCTTTACAGAAACAGAAAGCCTCATCTTTCTCCTGAGGAACGACTGGTAATTTTGAACTGCTGACCTTCAGGTTAGCAACCCAAGTAGTAACCACTATATGATATATATGAAGCTCTGGTCATGTAGGGGTTACGAGTTGGGTTGCTAACCTCAACGTCAGCAGTTCGAAACTACTAGCTGTTCCACAGGAGAAAGATGAGGCTTTCTGCTCCCGTAAAGATTTACAGCCTCAGAAGCCCTGTACAGGGTCACGACGAGTTGGAACCGACTCCACGGTACACCACCACTACCATAGATATGTATGTATATATATAAAATGTAGATATATTATTAAATTGTATTTTGAGATGATTATAGGTTCATATGCAATTTTGAGAAATATTACAAGGAAATAAAGAAATCCTGGGTACCTTTTACCCAGTTCCTCCAATGGTAACATCTTGCAGAATTCTGTAGTACAATTTCATGCTTAGGATATTGGCATTATTGCAATCCACACATTTTATTCAGATTTGGGGACCTCCTTTTGAAGGGAGTTGAGAGCTAGAGATGGAGATTAGGCGGGCCAGAAGGTAGCAGCTCAGGGGGCAGACCCCAGTCCTGAAGGTGACTCCCGCCCCCCGTGTTTGCCCCTGACTCTCAGCAGCCTTAAAGAGGGCCAGGTCTGATCCAGGCCACAGTCCTTGGCCTGCCTGGCCCCCCTTCCTGAATTAGCTCATCTCCTGCCCCTTATCCCCACCCATACAGTGCCCCCTAGCATCCTGGGAGAAGAGCTGAATGTGTCAGTCGTGGCCAATGCGTCAGTGACCCTGGAGTGCCGGAGCCATGCCATGCCCCCTCCTGTGCTGAGCTGGTGGAAAGATGGACACCCCCTCCAGCTGCGGCCTGGAGTGCACCTCTCCACAGACAAGGCCCTGCTGGAGGTGTGTGAACCCTCTGGAGTCAGGCTCTCCCATCTCCCGCCACGGGGGTGAGGTCAGCATGGCCCCACCACTGATGCTGGGGACCTCAGCCTCGGCTCCACCAAGTCCCCAGAAACTTCATGTCAACCCAACAAAACCTGGAAGCCCCTCCAGTCCTAATATCAGAGCTGAGTGAGAGCTGAGAATGAGTGAAGCTTAAGACTGGAGTGAGCCTTGTTCCTTCCTTAAGGTCCCCAGTGCGCTGAGTACCTCTGACCCCACCTTCCACAGAGTCGCTCATGTCTTATTCAAAAGCCCCTGGAGGTTCCTACTCTCCTTGAGCCAAGTCCGAACCCCTCAGTCAGGCACTTCAGCACCTTTCTCTGGTATCGGGTCCAGCAGGGCAGGGGTTGGCTGGGGACAGGGCTCCAGAGTCAGCTGGGAGTTGAATTTTAGCTCTGCATCCTTCTGGCTGTGCCATCTGGTCTCAAGGGCCTCAGGTCTTGCACTGTAAACACATTGGCACCTTTTACCAGAGGTGGCTAGGAGAATGTGTAGAGAAAATACCTGTGAGGTCCCAACATGCTCCAGAGAACAGCTTGTCCATGTTGGCTTGGTGGGGAGGAGGGAGGTGTTATCTTCCCAGCTGGTGGGGAGCATCTTCCATATTCCTCCTCCCCATGCCCCTCTATACCTGGTGAAATGGTCATTCCCAACTTTGAGCCCTGCTCCTTGGTTTTCCTCTGTTGGAGTGCCTGCTTTCTCCTTTCCCTTCATTCTTCAAAGTCACAGCTGAGCCCTCTTCACCATATGCCAAGATCTGACCCCTGAAGTCAGGGTCCTCCCACTTCCACCCTTCTCTGCTGGTCTGTGCTCCTCAACTTCCCAAAGAGACTGTGATCAGAACCAGGGCTGGGCCACCTGGATCAGGTGGTCGGTGATGTGGTTGTCCAGTGGGGCGGGGCCTCAGGGCTGCCATTCACGGATCGCATTCTGTGTGTCCAGCCCATGTTAGGCCCACCCCAACCATTGCCTTCTGGAGTCTCCCTTGTGCAATCATTACCCATGTTCCAGTGAGGTACAGTGGCATGTCCCAGGTCACACAGTCTGTCCAAGGGTTGCCCTCTCTTTTATTCTTGTTGGCCAGGTGGACCAAGCAGAAGTGTGGGATGCAGGCCGCTACACCTGTGAGGCACTGAACCAGGCAGGCCGCTCGGAGAAGCACTACAACCTGAACGTCTGGGGTGAGGGTCTCCCAGACTGGGCTGTGGTTCCCTCTCCCCAGCCCCAGAGTCCCCTCCACCCTTCCACACCTGGGTGTGCCTTCACTGAGCCCCTCCCCTTGTCCTTTCACCTTCCCAGCTCACCACTTCTTCTCTGATTCAGTCCCTCCAGTGTTCCCCTCGGAGCAGCCCCAGACCCTGGCTGTGATGGAGGGGCACTCTGCCAGGCTGTCCTGTGAGTGCCGGGGTGTCCCCTTCCCCAAGATCTCCTGGAAGAAGGATGGTACGGTTGTAGCTCTCACCCAGCCTCACCTCCCTGCCTGGCATAAGAAGGCCATTTCCACCAGCTGAGATGGGTGGGCTTACTGACTTACGGGGTATGGGTGACATTTCTATCAGCCTCTCTCTGCTTTTTCCCTGGCCTGGCATTGCTCCTTCTTTGATCCTTCCTAGCCAGCAGAACCAGATTGGTCCTCAGGCCTACTTCCCATGTCTCTTCTTGCAGGAAGACCCGCCATGATCCCCACCCCTAGGCTGAGGCAGGTCTTCCTTAATGCAGCCCCTTTGTGCTAACTTGTCCCGTCACCCATCTTAGACCTTCCATGAGGCACTGTCTTGGCCACCACTGAATCCCCAATTCAGTGTCTGGTACAAGAGAGGTGCCCAATCCATATCTGGAGTTCATTCATATAGGATTTATTGCAAGCCTCTAAAACACAGAGTGGGGAACATTGACTGCCAAAAGAATAAATAGATCTGTGCTGGAAGAAGTGCAGCCAGAATGCTCCTTGGAAGCCAGGATAGCCAGATTTCGTCTCTCCTACTTCAGACATATTGTCAGGAAGGACCAGTCACTGGAGAAGGATATCATGTTTGGTAAAGTGGAAGGCCAGAGAAAAAGAGGAGACCCCCAATGACATGGATTGGCACAGTGACAGCAGCAATGGGCTCAAACGTAGCAACGATTGTGAGGTTGGCCCAGGACCGGGCAGTGTTTCATTCTGTTGTGCATAAGGTCGCTATGAGTCAGTATCGACTCAATGGCACCTAACAACAACAGCAAAGAGTGGGGAAAGTCAGATAATAAACAAGAAGTTAGAAAATGACTTGGCACCATAAGTGGTGAGTGCTCTGGAGAAAATTAAACGCAGGAACGGGGAGGTGTACTGGGGAGTACGACTTGTAATTTTATATTGGGTATTCCTATTCCTATACTTGAAAAAGGTGAGGGGTGAGCATGGGAATGCCATGGGGAGAAAGTGTTCCAGGCAGTGGTAATCACAGGTGCAAAGGCCCAGGTGGAAACCAACATGTCTGAAGAACCACAGAGAGGCCAGTGGGGCTGGAGCACAGTCGTGAAAGGAGAGGGAGCAGAAGAAGGTCATCAGAGTGAGGCTGTGGGCCTCTGCAGGGCTCTAGACAAGAGGAGGGTCACACTCTGGCTTAGATTCTTATAGGAGCACCCTGTCACTGGGCTGCAAGTAGACCACTGGGAGCAAGGAGGGCAGCCAATGAGGGGGACTCCAGAGAAGAGATGCTGGTGTCCCGGACTAGGTGGTGCCACAAGGTGGTGAGAGGGGGTTGGAGTGTGGATTTCTGGCCAGGCTGGATGTGGAACCAGAGGTAGGAATGGGTCAGGGATGGCTCCCAGGTGTTTGATCTGACTGCAGGATCAGGCACAGGGAAAAATGTGCTCATTTTGAAGTGCTCGTTAGATGCTCACTGAAATGTCAGGTGAGCAGGCAGAGGCAGTGTCTGGAGCTCAGGGGATAGGTCTGGGAGCAACAAGGCAGGGCGGGGTTACCAGGAGAGGAGTGCAGATCAAGAAGAAAATGAGCCAGTGTTGGAGGAAGGAATCATCATGTGACAGCTGAATCCCCTCCTCCTCTGGGGACTTGCATTGATGAATGAATGGAGTCTGGAGTGCGGTCCTCTGCACACAGGCACAGGATGATGACAACAATCAGTGTTGGATCCAGCAGTTCACAAAGACCTTCTCCCACGTTGAGGTCTTCTTGCAGCCAGGTGTACTAGCCACTTGGTCTTCCTCTCCTCAGGTCACATTGTTGAGGTGGATGGGTCATTCATTAAGTAGCCCACGGAACATCTAAGGACCCCAGGGGGAAAGTGAAGCAGGGTCTGCTTTCCTGAGTCCAGGCCATTGGGGGTTTCAGATGGGGCACCTACAGGTCTATCTCTGATGGTGAGAAGCTTGGGTGCTGTGGGAACTCACAAGGAGTAGAGGATAGATTCTGCACTCAGGGAAAACTTCCTGGAGGAGGTGATGTCTATGTGGACACCTGAAGGATGAGTAGGAGTTGGCAAACATGGGAGGCCCAGAGTTCCAGGTATCCCAGCAAATGCCCTAGAGCAGGGCCTTCTTTCCCATTGCTTCCAGGTCAGTCCCTGTCTGGTGAAGGGGCCAGCCTGGAGCAGGTGTCGGCTGTGGGGACGCTGCTGTACCTGGGGCAGGTCCAGCCCAGCCAGGAGGGCACCTACACCTGTGAATGCAGCAATGTGGCAGGAAACAGCAGCCAGGACCAGCAGCTGGAGGTGCATGGTGAGCCTTGCCAGGTGGCGAAGGAGCCAGGAGGGCAAGGAGAGGGCACACTGGCAGACCAGCCACCCACAGCCAGATCTCAAGTGAAGACAGGAACAACAAGGATAAGGAGGCTTCCACATTCTCTCTTAGATGATTGGCATCTGCCCTTGCCCTGTCAGTTTTCTTACAGCAACTAACTGAAGTGTGGAAGAATAATCCCTAAGTACCTCCCACTGACCCATGACCCCTAGGTATCTCTCCCTGTCTGTGACCCAAAGTAAACAGCCCCTCTGGAAACAGTTGGGAACAAGAAAACTGCTAATATTATATAAAGTTACCACAGACATTGGAAACCCCAGTCGGCTTCTACCTGTACAGCAGGAATGAAATGAATATCATGATGCTGGTAGTGGTGGTGGTTATGTGCCATGAGTTGGTTCCAACTCATAGTGACCCTGCATAGAGGTTTCTGCGGCTGGAAATCTTTATGGAAGCAGAAAGTCTCATCTTTCTCCCGTGGAACTGCTGGTAGCTTCAAACTGCTGACCTTGAGATTAGCAGCCCGATTCATAACCACTATGCTACCATAGCCTTGTCAAAATCATAGAATATAAAACTGAGAAAAGCTCTGCTCAGCATCTTGTGGTGGACGCCTCTAGTAGGATCATCCCCTCTTCCAACCTGCCCCTACCACTATTGAAACTCTGAGTTAGAAAAGCTCCCATAAAACCTAAAAGGGCAGCAGGGGTGATATGTCCCTGAAACTGCAGGCCTCTAGGGTGGGGACCTACTGCTGCTTCGGCTGATGGGGTGGGTGGAGCATCTGGAAGGAGTGGGTGGTGACCATAGCTCCTGGGGTGTGGGAGAGGTGGCAGTGGGGCACTCTTAGGACCCATTACAAAGATAGAAAATAGAGGCAGAGACAGATGACGTCACTGGACAAGTGAATGGCAGGGTGGTGATATAGACCTAAATGGGGATATGTCCACCAAGTGTCCAGCCTGGAGCAGCTTTCCCTGATGTGTTCTTTCTCAACCCCAGTTCCCCCTCAGATCACCAGCCCCTGGGAACTCCACACACAGGTCTCTGTGGTCCAGGACAGGGAGACCACTCTGGAATGCAATGTCACAGGGAAGCCCCCACCAACGGTCACCTGGGAACGGGATGGTCAACTGATCAAGGACAAACCTGGCTTGCAGCTGCAGAACCAGGCTCAGAGTCTGCATGTCACGGAGGCACAGGTTGCCCACGCCGGACACTACAGCTGCGTGGCCGAGAACGTGGCTGGGAGGGCTGAGAGAAGGTTTTCACTTGCCGTGCTGGGTGAGGATCAGCATGCCACCTGCTACAGGGCAGGAAGGGGCTACTGGGATGGAGAGCAAGGCTGGTTCAACCTCCAGGCACAGCCCTCAGCTCTGCTCCTGGTCTCACCCCCTGTTCTTCTGGGCTCAGGTCTCTGATGAAAGCTGGTAATGGGGGCAGCCACCACACTGAACTCAAACTCAGGGACTGACCCCAAGTAGCCCCAGTGTTCCTTCCCCCCACTTTCCCTGCCTCCCTCCTTTATTTGCTGCGGCCCTACTCCATGCCAGGCACTGGAAGAATAAACCATCTTTATCCTGTATGAAAGAATGTATGAAAGAATCCTGTGTGGTGCTTGCTAATGGAAGCACTCGACCACCAACTGAAAGGTTGATTGTTCAAGTCCAGCCAGTGGTACTTTGGAGATAGGCCTGAAGCTCTGTTTCTTGAATGAACAAGCCATTGGAAACCTGTGGCACACAGTTCTACTCAAACACACATGAGGTTGCTAAATGAGTCGGTTGTTGTTGTTTTGGTAGGGGTGGATGCCCTGCATGACTGGCGTGATGTGGGAAGTTCTGGGGCCTGTGAAAGACCAGAAAGCCCATGAATTCTTGTAGGAAGTCAGTAGCCTTCTGGAGGAGGTGACCTTTAATGAAAACGTGAAGGTTGAATAGGATTTAATCAGGTGCAAGAGTTGAGAAGGATCCCTGGTAGTGCCTTAGGGTAAGCACTGGGTTGCTGACTGAGAGGTCAACAGTTCAACCCCACTGGACGCTGTGGGGGAGAAAGATGAGTCAGTCTGCTTCCGTAAAGATTTGTTGTTGTTAAGTACTGTAGAGTCAGTTCTTACTCATAGGACCCTGTGTAGGGTTTCTGAGACTACACATCTTTGAGGGAGCAGAAAGTCTCATCTTTTTCCCACAGAGCGACTGGTGGACTGGAACTGATCTTGTGGTTCAAGTCCAGTGCTTATCCTACAGAGTCACTGTGCTCCCTTGTAAGACTTACAATGTCAGAAACCCTATGGAGCAGTTCTACTCTGCCTTACAGGGAATCACCTCCACACCAGTGGGTTTAGGGGAGGAAGCAAGTGTGTCAGGTAGAAGGGGTCTGAGGGAGCGACCCCTTTGTGCATTCCAATTCTGTTTTGAGCTCCTACTGTATGTCTGACTTCTGGTGTGGCGTTGCGGGTTAATGCGGTAAACTGCAACGTCGTTGTGGGCCGTTAAAGCCGGCAGTTCTAGCTCACCAGCTGCTCCTTGGAAACCCTATGCAGGGTCGCTATGAGTCGGATACCGACTCGATGGCACTTAACAATGAAAAAAAAAAAACTGTATGTCTGGGTTATAATTCAGGGCAGAGGCAGCGAGTGGTGTAAGACAAGGCAGGAGCAGTGGTCAGGGGTGGGTTTACGGAGGAACTTTCTCATGGCCTGTGGAGTGGGCTTCCTTTACAAATGGGTTCTTTAAAGCTGGAAGACCTACCTGTTAGCTCCCGGGTGTGGATCTAGGGAGTGTGTCTATGTTCACCTTTGCTAGACTCCATTTCATTGGCTCAGCTCTGGGCCAGTCACTGTGCTCTTGTTGAATTCTCTCCACATCCCTCTCACTGAGTTGGAGGAACTAAGATCAAGTTCCCAAGCATGCCCTGTACCTGTGTTACAGCTTTAGTGGGGCAGCTCTGATCTAGTCCCTGCTGCTCCTCAGACTCTCCCCCTATGTGTGGGTGTGGGTGTGGGTGGGTGGGTGTGGGTGTATCTTTGGGAGGCATAGTTGGTGGGAAAGAGCAGATAGGAGCATCCTGTCCTTAGCATGCTTCCTAAACAGAGCGTCTTCTCTCTGTCTAGTGCCCCCAGAGCTTGTTGGCGACTCAGACACACTGACCAATGTCACCGCTGCCTTGCACAGCCCGTTGACATTGCTCTGTGAAGCCACAGGCATTCCTCCCCCGGAGGTCCGCTGGTTCCGAGGGGAGGACCCTATCAGACCCAGGGAGGACACCTATCTCTTAGCAGGTAAGGCACCAGTCAGACAAGAGCTGGCCCTCTGTCTCTGTCCATTACATGTCCATGATTTTTGACCCTGAGCTACCAGACTTGTTTAGGTAACCAAAAAATCCACTGCTGTGGAGTCTGTTCCAACTCATAGCATTCCTGTATAGGATTTTCAAGGTTGCAAAACTTTACGAGAGCAGAAAGCCACATCTTTCTCCTGAGGAGTCCCTGATGGATTATAAACTATCGACCAAATAGTTAACAGCCCAGTGTCTAACCCACAGAGCCACCAGGGCTCGTGGTCCCTAAATAGTACACCTGGAAACACTGACATGCATCAAGATATAGAAGGCTCTGGGATTTAAATAAGCTCAGAGAAGCCTTCCTACCCTACTCCTATTTGGAGATGCCTATAATGTACATTTTCATAGTAAAGGTCCCGAGAAGTCCCATAGCAAAAAATCGAGTGGCACTTCTAACATCTCACAAAGCAGTAACAAATTACTGGAAATGCTAATGAAACACCTCCGCCGAATATCCCATCTCCTCATGAAGTTAGTTTGTGATCATTCTTCTTAACGTACAAGTGGGAAAACTGAGTCCCACAAAGCAATGTCCCATTCAAATCTTGCAGAGGCTTCAAAGGCCCACTGAGGCTCCATCTCAGCTGAGGCTGGAATGGTAAATACGTTTCTCCTGCATAGCACTTCTGAGCACTTGGTAGTGGCTTCCAGATGTGCATAATGTGAGGTTAGAGGCTGAATCCAGGCCCACTGCAAAGGAGAGCAATGATCAGTCCGTGCTTCCTGCATGCAGGAATGGCAGTGAGGGAGTGTGCACTGTATGTCTGCCCTCCTTGGACTGATCTTAGGACACCCTGGGGCTCCTCTCAGAGGGGTTGGCTGGCTTCTGAGGTGTTTCTGGGAGAAGGCCTTTACTGTGTTCATAGGAGGAGAGTGGGGGGGGGGTGTCAGACTTGGACCAGGACCCCAAGCCCATTGCTGTCCTTTCAGCCCCAGCTAATCCTCAATCCAAAGTGGCCAAAGTGACAGACTTCTTGCTAGAATAGAGTTCTCAAGTTGACCCTGGTACAGATTTATCTGTTGATCCTCCTTGGAGCACAGCTTTCCCCATCTAAAGAATGGAACACTGAGGGAGACAGACATGTATCCAATTATAGCATCCAGTGCTTTCCCCTTCCTGGACTAGATTTGGGAGAGAAGACCACTTACAGCCATACTTGGACTCCCACGCCCCTCTCTCCCCCAGGTGGCTGGATGCTGAAGATGACTCAGGTGCAGCAGCAAGACAGAGGCCTTTACTCATGCCTGGCAAGCAACGAGGCTGGGGAGGTGCAGAGGAACTTCAGTGTTGAGGTCCTTGGTATGTGGCAGCCATGTTCTCAGGATGTCCCACAAAGTCTTCCCTTCCCAATTTAAATGTGTTCAGAGATATGACCCAGCTCATGGACAGAGGGAGAGGCTGCACCTGGCTTTCTTTGTCTCACCAGAAACCTCTACTCTGAGGCTGCAATGGAACTTTCCAGAAAAGCAGGGATTATTAATCCCTAGTTGTTGTTGAGTGCCATGGATTCAGTTTTGATTCATAGCGACCCTGTGTAGGGTTTCTGAGGTTGTAAATCTTTACAGGGGCAGAAAGCCTCATCTTCCATCCATGGAGTGGCTGGTGAATTTGAACTGCTGATCGTGTGTTTAGAAGCCCCACGTATAACCCACTGTGCCAGCAGAGCTCCAACCCATAGTAGAAGGGAGTGTATATTTTCAGCGTCAGTAAAACTGCCTTCCTCTAATCTCGGCCTCCCCTAGAGGCACTGGTGCCTTCTATCAGTCATCAGCAAATGTTTACTAAACTCACTGCCTTGTGGAAACAGGCATGAGGGATGGGGAAACTGAAGAGAGGAGTTGTGGGTTCTTGCTCCGCAGATTTCAGCCTGAGTGATAAACCCCAGTTAGTAACCATCTGTCTCCCTGCTTCTTCTAGTTCCTCCCAGTATTGAGCAGGAAGACCAGGAGGAAGTGATTAAGGTTCCCGAGGGGCAAACTGCCCACCTGATGTGCAGTGCCACAGGTAAGGGTTCCAACCACATGGAGGTTTGATAGAGAAGTGAGGAGGCAGCTTTGGAAAGCAGGAGGGCTCGGAGGTTCTGGCCTATCTGCCCTTCAGCCCACCATTTCCTTTGAGCTTTTCTCTACATTTTGGACCAGTTCTGCATTCCTGTTCATCTCTGGCTGACCCTTCACTACGAATGCTTATTCTCTCCTCCTCACCTGAGTACAGGTCTCAGCTTTCAGAACCTTGCCCCAGGAGGCCCTGGCTCCCAGAGCCCCCAGTGCTTCCTTGTCCCCGCAGTGACAGCATTGGGCCATAGAGGTCTTGTGTCATCCGAGTGCCCATGTGAGGCTCTGAGTTGCCTTGTCACCATAGTTTTTCAGGTGCCTGGCAGAGTTGCTATTGTTGTTAGTTGCCATCAAATCTGTGAGGACCCATGGCAACTCCAAGTGTACAGAGTAGAACCACTCCACAGAGTTTTCCAGGCTGTGACCTTTCGGAAGTAGATCCCCAGACCTGTCTCCTGAGGTGCCTCTGGGTGGGTTTGAACCACCAATATTTTGACCAGTTGTTGAACACTTAACTGTTTGAACTACCCAGAAACATCCATGATTGCTTGTGAGCTGAAGGATGTATTTATGCATGTGTGCATGCATGTATGTGTACATGTGTGTATGTGTCTAGCCTATCTGTACTGAGTCATCTCTGTCCACTTCTTGGTGAGGAAAAGGCAACCAAAACACATAGAAAAGTGTCCCTGACCAGGCCAGGTGGCTGCTTCTGTGCCCTGCCCTGCTGCCCAGGCCTCTAGACTTGGATGGAGAGTCCATGTCCCCTGCCCCATGCCAGAGCAGTCTTCTACCCCTGGGCAGGCCTGGTCAAGCCTGCTGAATTACTTCACCTGCTTCTTTTCCTGTGTGGACAGGCCACCCACAGCCCAAGGTTACGTGGTTCAAAGATGGTCGGCTCCTGACTAGTGGAGATGCCTACCAAATCTCCACAGACGGAACCCTCCTGCAAGTCCTCCAGGCCAACCTGTCCAGCACTGGTCACTATTCCTGTATTGCAGCCAACACTGCAGGGGAGAGGACTAAGCACATTCAACTTAGTGTCCAGGGTGAGTGCCAGGGTATCTTCTGGTAGGAAGGAGAGCCAAGGTGATGGGCTTCACAGAGATGTGGACCACCAAGCACTCTACTGTTTTTCTTCTGTTACGCCCAGTTCAACACAACAGCACCAATAGTAATAACAGCTGTACTGATCGAACATTTATCATGGACCAGGGAAACCCCCTGGAGATGGGAGACTGTTTATCCACATGCTTCTGAGCCTTAGAGAGAAGTGACTCATGGCAGGCCTCAGGGTGGTGGCTTCACAGCCAGGCTGCCCATCTCCCGGGTGCACCACATACTGTCCGGTTAGACTGGAGAAGCAGGGACTCTAGAAACATGAGAGGGACACAACCTTCCTCAGTAAAAGTTGTTTCTGAAAATGCTGAGAGTGATGGAAATGGAAAAGAGCATTCCCTGCAGGGGCTGGAAGAGGAGGGGTTAGGGCCAGTGAGGGCAGAGGTACTCCACTCTGCAGGGGACAAAACAGTGACCCCCTGTCTCAGGGAAGTCACATAGACTAAAAGCATACACAGAATTGAGAAGACTGGTTAAATTCATAGCTAACCTAGGTGTTGAGATCTGGGAAACTGAGGCAAAAATTATCCAGCTTAGTGGTGAAGTGAGTGCAAGTCTGGCTGCAGCCCTCTGAGCCTCAGTCTCCTCCTTTGGTGGTGGTGGCGGTGGTTACACACCATGGAGTCGGTTCCTACTCACAGCGATCCTGCATAGGGTTTCTGAGGCTGTAAATCTTTATGGGAGCAGACCGACTCATCTTTCTCCCATGGAACTACTGGTAGTTTCGAACTGCTGACCATGAGATTAGCAGCCTGACTTGTAACCACTATGCTACCAGAGCTCCTTCCTCTGTATAATGCAGACAGTAACAGCACCATGGCTGGGTGCCAGGGTCTGAGGTGGTCTGGCTCCTTGAGTGTCCTTGGGGCAGGAATCCCTGTTCACAAGAGTCCTCTCCCCTCTCTCTGCTACAGTAGCTCCCACCATCCTGGGAGTGACCGAGGACAGTGCAGATGAGGAGGTGACCGTTACCATCAACAACCCCATTTCACTGATCTGCGAGACCCTGGCCTTCCCCTCCCCCACCATCACCTGGATGAAGGACGGGTCCCCATTTGAGGTTTCCAAGAACATCCAGCTGCTCCCAGGTGATGCCTTCGGTGGGAGGAATGAGGGGACAGGTGACATGTCATTAGACTGGGCCAGAAGGAGGGGACTAGCGAGCTTAGTCTCAAAAGACAAACGAGGCTGCAGCTGTGGGGTGATGCTAGCCATTGCCCCCCAAACAGGTACCCATGGGCTGCAGATTCTGAATGCTCAGGAGGAAGATGCAGGCCAGTACACCTGTGTGGTCACCAATGAGCTTGGGGAGGCCATGAAGAACTACCACGTGGAAGTCCTGAGTGAGTGCACACCATCCAGAGCACCAGCTCCCAGTCACACGGACCAACAGGGTGCCCAGTACTTGTCTCCTCTGAGGTCCAGAAGGCCGTGGGGCGGGCGTGGTCTTTTCCCATTTGGAGCTGAGGATACTAAGAGCAGGGACCTGTGCCAGCCCCGGCTTCCTTCCGTGGGGTGCAATAAGAGGTTTCACAGCTTGAGACCTCAGGATACCCAAGACTGAGTCCAGAGGCCAACCCAGAAATTCCCCTGCCTCAGACCTGCCCTGTTTCATAGCCATCGCAGACAAATGCCCTTTCCTAAGTGAAGAACCTAGCTTCCTGTTCCTCCATCCTCCAGAGCCAGCCTGTCATTTCTGGGACTGTTCCAGGATCAGGGTGCATGCAGGGTATCAACACACCCTCTCCTAGGCCTGATCCTCAGATCCCCTTATGGTTTTTCAGTCCCCCCTTCCATCTCCAAAGACGACCCATCGGGGGAGTTTGGCGTGAAGGAAGTAAAGACCAAGGTCAATAGCACGTTGACCCTGGAGTGTGAGTGCTGGGCTATGCCCCCACCCACAATCAGCTGGTACAAGGACGGAAAGGTGAGTGGAGACCTGCAGGGCAGCCTCAGGCTCTGATGTCCAGTTCCCCTAATCCTCTTAGAATCTTCCAGAAAAGGCACCTGCCTTAAAGCACTAACCACCAAAGCTGACCTGGGCTCCCCATCCACTCTTTATTTTTGTAATAAGAATTCAACTAACGGAAAGTCTCGTAAATGTTCAGTTCTACTATATTCACCCATTTGATTATTTTCCCAATTTTTAAGCTTTACATACTTGTTATCAGGGTGTTGCTATTACTTTGTGTTGCCTTTATTTAAAGTTTTAAAATTAAAGTATAAACACACTCATCTAGAGGCAGTGGTAGTCCCATAGTAGAATTCTCACCTTCCATGTGGGAGACCCTCTACTGACTTGATTGCACCTAACAATAAAAACAACAACATGCAGGAGACGCAGGTTTATCTGTTCATGATGGCTCACATACTACTATGATGTTGAACCAGTTTCAACAGAGCTGCCAGATTAAGAGAGACTAGGAAGAAAGGTGTGGTAATCTGCTGCTGAAAAATCAGCCAATAAAAACCCTATGGATCACGGTGATCTGATCGATCCCTTTGTGCATGGGGTCACCATGAGTTGGGGGCTGCTGTGACAACAACTAATAACACTCATTTTGCTGGTTTTCATGCCTTCCTCTCTGATCTCCATGTCCCCTCTTTTGCTCCCCACAGCCTGTAACCCCCCACGAGCGGCTGCACGTCTTGGGTGAAGGACGACTGCTCCAGATCCAGTCCACGCAGGTCTCGGATTCAGGGCGATACCTGTGCCTGGCCACCAATGTAGCTGGCGAGGACGACCAGCACTTCAATGTGCTCATCCAGGGTGTGTGCTGGCCGGTGGCCTAGGAGAAGGAAGGGGTTGTGGCAGGTCAGCCAGCAGAAGCCAACGTTGGCTCCTGGCACATTTGGCATCCGTCACCGGGCTAGCCCACCCCCAGCAGCCTTGACCAGCAGATCCTGCCCCGATTCTCACTGTCTCTGCAATTTTGTATTGGAAGAAGCAGAGGTGTTCTTTCCTCTTGGTGCCTCTAGAGGAAAACCATTAGTAGGAGTAGTGGCAATCACTTAGCAAGCACACATGTGTGTCTGCGCTGTCCCGGAGCCTTCATCTCAACATCCCTGAACCCCTTTACAGCTGAGGGAAGGAGGCTCAAAGAGATGAATGGGCTTTCTCCCAAATCACAGCATTACCTGGTGGAGCCTGAATTTGAACCAGGTCTGGCTGATCCTAAACACTATACTCTTAATTCCTCTGCCAGGGCCTCTTGCTTTATGAGCAGACATGGGGGTGTGCTTCATACTGGCACAGAGTGAATACTTGTTGAAGCTGGTTGTGGGTACCTGGGTGTCTCATGATATTGTCATCTCTGCATATGCTTGGCATATGTTTGACATTTTTCTTAAAAAGAAAGAAATAAAAGGAAGTAAAAAAGAAAAGAAGAGGTGAGGGAGAGCAGAAGAGGGAGAGGAAACAATCGAGAAACTAAAGGAGGGAAGCAAGGTGAGGGGAAGGGCAGGCAGCAGGTGAGCAGCACGGCAGGATGCTTCTGGAGTGTTCTGGTCACTCAGATCCCTTCTTAGCACTGTCTGGCCCATCCAGTCCCCACCTCCTCCTCCCAGAGAGGAAGAGGTAGACTGTGCTCCAGTCCCAGCTCTGTCATTAAGTGGTTAGTAGGTAACAACCTTGGGAAGTCACTGTTTCCTCTGGAGCTTTGTTTGACCTTTTGTAAACTGTGGTCTATCAAATCAGGTGAGCTGGAGGACCCTGATGGTTTTACACCTCTGTGCTTGGAGCCCTGGTGGCATAGCCAGCTGGGCTGCTAACTGAAAGGTCAGCAGTTTGAATCCAGCAGCTACTCTGAGGGTGAAAGATGAGGCTGACTGCTCCCGAAAAGATATGCAGCCTCAGAGACTCTAGGGAGCATTCTAGAGTCACTATGAGTCGGAATCAACTCTATGGCAGTGGGCGGGTTATGCTTTGATAGATGAATTCAGGTTAAAACTTAATATCTGACTTCCTCCTGCCCAAACCTGTGCATTGTAAAGAGTCTTTCAGAGTCCGTTGGATATGAGTTCTAGGGGGCAAGTTCCTTATCTGAGTGCCCAACACATGGTAACTGCGTAATAAACACAAGTTGAAGGAATGAATGAATTTGAAAAACGTTTTGACCTAAGAAAAGTGGCTCAGTAGTGAAATATCTGCACCTGGGATGGGAATCCCTAACACCCATTTTTTGTTTGTCCACCCTGACCCCCACCCAGTGCCCCCCATGTTCCAGAAGATGGGTGATACCAATGCAGCCTTCAAGATCCTGTCCCAGGAGGAGGAGGTCCGAGGTGGGGTGACAGAGTACAGGGAGATTGTGGAGAACAACCCTGTCTACCTGTACTGTGACACCAATGCTGTCCCACCCCCGGAGCTCACCTGGTACAGGGAAGACCAGCTTCTCTCAGCCACAGACAGCATGTCTGTGCTGCAAGGTAAGTCTGATCAGAGCCCCATCCACATCACAGCTGGTCCCCTCAGCCTCCTTTCTATGAAAACGTAAAAGTTGTTTTCCCATATACTGCTTGCTATGCAACCACAGGCAGAGCCTGTGACCTCTCTGGATTTTTCTTGTCCTTTGTAAACTGGGGATAGAGATCCTTTCCCTGTCTCAAGGTAAAAACTCGGCTTCCTTCAGCCTCCAAATTTTACAATAGAGAGTCTCACTCTGGGTCACGAAGTTCTCCCATCCAGACCTGGAGATCCGTAGCGTCATAAAATGATGGACAAAAGCTGACACCCTTCTCTGGAGAGATAGTTGTCTCTTTTATTAAACTCCTCAAAGAGGCTTATGGCCTCAGATGCTGAATAAGGTCCCAGTGGGCTTTGAGGACCAACCACACTGTAGCTGAAGTGTTTGACTCCTGTGGCTTGCTTTTCTTTTAACTGCTTTTAATATTTGTTTATTTAAAGTTCTTTAAATTTTAAATAAACCTTTAATTTTAGAAAGTGACGTGTTTGCCTTGAGCAGTATGCTCATTTAGGATCTATCTATATGGGGTCAAAGTAACAACAGCAACTGGAAAGATTAGATGGGACCCTTGGGCAATGAGTTATGTTAGTGGGGGAGTTAGGTTAGGCTCAGTAAAGAAGGGTGAGTATGGTTGTAAAGTTTGAAGAGTGTAGTTAATGTCACTGAATTGTACCTGAAGAAGTGGTTGAATTCGTGTCTGTTTTGCTGTATATTCTCAGCAACAACATCAAGAAGTTACTGGGTCCAAGGACAAAGTTCATAAGGGTTAGGAAAGAAGGAGTGTTGGGTTAAGTGATGTTACATTGTGGGGATTGCAGTCAACGACATGAAAGAAAACATGTATGAACTGTTGAATGGAAAACTGCTGACGTGCTCTATAATTCACAATAAAAAGTTAAAAAAAAAAAAGTTAAGAGGAGTGGAGCTTAGAAGTGTCCATTGTCCTGGACTGCTTGTCCAGTCTCCCTCAGCTCCACCAGCCACCACTGGGAGGGATTCAAGGCGCAGAGCCCTGCGAGGGGAGACTGGGTAGTCTCCTGTTAGGATCTGCCCTGTGTCCTGTCAAGCCTGAGTCACTGGAGGATTGGGTCAGGGAGATAGGTTGTGTCAGCCTTTGGACGAGCAGGGTTATAACAGGGCTTGGACTTTGGCTGTTGCAAAAGACAGAGGCCTCTGGGAGGGAGGTAAGGCTGACTGCACACTAGTTGCTCTTGTTGGAAACCCCTGGGCTTATCTTGTCCACTAACCGACCTGAAACTTACCCCAAATCCTGGGTACACAGTGAACTCAGTCACGTACTGACCCACTAATTCAGACCCTGACCATAGATTAATCCCAGCGATCACCAAGCCCTGACCACAGCTATTGACGCTCTCCTACTAGCCATTGATCTCTAATCCCACCCAGACCCAGGCCATGAGTGTCTAATCCTAGATATAGAGTGCTCATGATCAAACATGACCCTAATCCTAACCCTGGTTATAGATTAACCCCAACCACCAACTGATACCTATCATGGCCACTGCCTCAAAAGTAGTCACTGTCACCAACTCCGCATGCAGTGATCCTTGGTTCCAGTCCTAGTCACAAGATGACCCATAGTCTAGGCCAGTGATCCCATAACCCAGAATCCTGAGCACACAGGGACCCCTAACTTGGCCCCCACAACAGACCAATTCCAGCCCCCTGTAGACACCTGGTCTGACCCTAACTGGTCCCAGAGTTTGCTGGCCCTCATGCAAGCCCTTGATCACAGAGGCTCCAGGTGATGCCTCCCATCCCACCCCCAGCCTCCTGAAACCCAGATGCTGCCTCCTCTATCCCCCGAGAACTTCGTGACTGCAGCATTGCTGGACACTAGCCCAGCCCTCCTGGCATCATCAAAGAAGCTCACCTGAACATGCTCTGCTGCCATTTTGCTGGGCACTCTTTTGGGAGGTCTCAGTTTTCCATGTGCAAGATGGGAGTAATTAGATCACATACTCCATAGAGTCATTGTGGCCTAAAGCCATAAAATACTCAGCCAGGGCCTAGCACATAACCAAGCCATTATTGTGCTTTGATTTCATCCTCATCTTGACCTATGACCTAGGCTATTGTTGCTGTTAAATGCCATAGAGTCGTTTCCGACTCATAATGACCCATTTATAGGGTGTCCGAGGAACAGCTGGTGGGTTTGAACTGCCAAACTTGCGGTTCGCAGTCCAGTGCTGATCCACAGCACCACACCAGGAGTCCATGACCCGGGCAAGGCAGGGATTATAGTCTGCTTTTCACAGATGGGGCAGAGGGGAGGCAGTGATGTGTCCCAGCTCCCCTCCAGAAGAGACTTGGTTTCCTTGCTCTTGGGAGAGTCTCTAGGTCCTGATCTCATGTCTTTGTCTCGATGTCCCTTCAGGGGGTCGAGTCTTACAGATCCCTCTGGTGCGTGCGGAGGATGCTGGGAGGTACTCCTGCAAGGCCTCCAATGAGGTGGGCGAAGACTGGCTGCACTATGAGCTGCTGGTGCTAAGTGAGTGTGGGTCTGGGGCAGGGCTGTGGAATAGTCTCCAGCAGGGATGGGCTGGGTAGCAACTCAGGACTGTAACTCCCTCATCCTGGGGGTGGGGTGTGTGTGTCTGTGTGTGTGTGTGTGTGTGTGTGTGTGTGTGTGTGTGTCCTTTTCAGTCTTGCTGTACTTTGAGGTAGTTACAGGGATGATGAGTTTGAGCTCTAAAACCAGGTAGAACTTGATTCAAATTCCAAGTTAACTGCTTCCTAGCTGTTTGCCTTTAGGTAAATCACCAACCCTCTCTGTGTCTCAGATGCCTTAGGCTGGAGGGTTTGTTGAGCAAGGCACAAGGAACCCCAGCCAGAGCTTGGCACCAAGTGCAGCTGCTCCTCTTGCCTTCACATCGCTCTCCCTCTGGGAACTTTCCCCAGAGAAGGAGTTCTCGAGCCACCAGCCCATACACTCCTCTCCCCAACCATAGCCCCACCTGTGATCCTGGGTGACACAGAGGAACTGGTGGAGGAGGTGATCGTCAATGCCAGCAGCACCGTCAGCCTACAGTGCCCAGCCTTGGGCAGCCCCATGCCCACCATCTCATGGCTCCAGAATGGGCTGCCTTTCCCCCCGAGCCCACGGCTGCAGGTCCTGGAGGACGGACAAGTCTTGCAGGTCAGGGCAGCCCCTGGACGGACTCAAGCACAGAGCCAGTTGTGGCCTCTGGGTTCCTTGTCTGGAAGCCAAGAAGCTGTCATTTTCTGTGCCAACTGAGGCTTTTTGGCTGAAATGAACCCGGGATTTAATTCAGCTCAAGAAATAATCCTAAAACTATATATGAGGGGCCTTGCTGACCAAGATAGGCTTATCTATCACAGCAGCTAGAAGTTCAGGATGCACAGACATAATGACCCCTGGAGCCTAGTGTGGTACAGAGCATCTTTCTGCTGGAAATCCATCTGACACTTACAGGGCTGTGTCCAGCCTTGGGGCTTCAGGCTGGACCTGGCACCCTCAGTTACCCAGTATCCAGAACACAGAACTCAGCCCAGCACAGAGCTGCCCTTCATGGGGCTGGGGGAGACTGTAGTCAACATCTAATGTTCCCCCCATCCCCACCCCATGCCCACCACTGAATGTCATACAAAGTCCTACATGACTTAGAGTCTGCCATGCCCATCAAAGGGGTGTCCTAAGTCCTGCTTCATCGTGCCTGCTGTGGGTGGGAGGGAGCCCTTGTAGTTGTTCCTGGGGTCGGGGGAGTGGCAGGGTTCAGGAGCCTATCCAGTCTATGGCATCTCCCGGACACCATTTTCCTGCACCCATAGGTTTCCACTACAGAGGTGGGTGATGTCACCAGCTACATGTGTGTGGCTGAGAACCAGGCTGGCTCCGCAGAGAAACTCTTTACCCTCAAGGTCCAAGGTGAGCTGACCCAAGCAGGTCCCCAGCTGAGGTGGGGCTGGTGGTGTCCTGCTCCAGCTCTGCCAATGACCAGCACTGCAGGTCAACCATGTCAGGTTGGGGCAGAAGGGTGGACACACAGCACCTTGGTGCTTCTGATAACCTGGGCTCTGATCCCAGCCTGGTACCAGCTACATCCTGGGCCACAGAGCACTTGGGCAGCCTTGACTGCTGCTCATGCAGCCTCAGATGATTAAAGTAACTTTGGGCACAACCAGAAACATATCTCCTGAGGCCTTACTATTAAGCACTTATTGCATAGCTGGCATGGGGCTGTGCATTTCCTTTGCCAACTCCTTCCAGCAGAGCCATGAAGTCAGCCCCATTTTTCAGCTCAGAGATCACACAAATGGAAGCTACACCACCCCCAGCGTCTGTGCCCTGAACCTCTGCACTCTCATGGCACACACTGTACCTCTGTAATCGTGAGCTCTGCCTCGGGTGTGGTGGCAGCAGCTACCTTGGGAAGGAAGGGTGATAGCTGAGCACTCGAGTCTTAGACTCAAACTTAAGTTTGTATTTTGGCTCTGCCACTGGCCAGCTGTGTGGACTTGGAAAAACAACTCTCCCTCTCTGATCTATGAGCCTCTGTAAGATAGTTATAGTATGTCAAGGCTTCTGCATAGCATTGTATGGAAATGTGCCAAGGGGATGCAGCAGGGGCTCACTGCCCTTCTGCCCATGTGCATTCTCACGTATCTTTCTTTGTCCTGATGGTCATGGGGACAGTCCCACCACGAATCACAGGCCTGACCTCAGAGAAGGTGACTGTCATCCTCAACAGCAGCATCTCCCTCCCCTGTGAGGTCCATGCTCAACCGAGCCCCGAGGTCACATGGTACAAGGACAACCGCGCCCTAACCCTGGGCGAAGATATCTTCCTCTTGCCTGGTGGGTAAACTGAGACTTCAGCATACCTTGGAGGCTGTGTGGGGAGCCAACATTGCTTTCTCAAATCTGGTACCAGGCTGTAAGTCTGGAAGGGATTTAGGATAGGAAAAGTGGGCCTGGGGGCTGGGGCCAGTTTGCTGGTGCGAGGGGCTGGGCTTCCCCTTGCAGGCACCCACACCTTGAAACTGGCGCGAGCACAGCCATCGGATTCTGGGACTTATGTGTGTGAAGCCTTCAATGCCGCTGGCCAAGACCAGAAGCTGGTGCAGCTTAGTGTGCTGGGTATGTTTCGTCTCTGTCCCCCTATCGGCACTCTCCCCAACTCCTTCAATTAGCCCTGAGCCATTTGGGTAGCACAGCCAAGAGACGGGCAGCCAGCACTGGGTGAGACTGAGATGCCCCATGCCCTCTCCCAGGTGTTGGACACACTTGAATTAGAAACTCAGCTGTGCACGTCCTTGCTCTGTGATCTTGAGCCCAGCCAATTCTGTCCTCATAGCAGCTGCCTGAGGTACATGACGGCATCCTGACTGAGCACGAGAGAACACTAGGATCGATTAGTGTTGTCTGCTCAGCATAGGATGAATACCCCTCTATGAGCCTCAGATTTCTCATCTGTAAGGTGGTTGTTATTAAGTGCTGTTGAGTCAGTTCTGACTCATACAGACCCTGAATAGGGTTTCCAAGGCTATAAATCTTTGCAGGAGCAGAAAGCCTCATCTTTCTCCCATGGAGTGACTGGTGGGTTCCAACCATCCATGTAGTGCTTATTTTACAGAGCCACTGCACATCTACACAGCATTTGTTAGCTCTGATGATGGTGAAGTTGAGGAGGAACAGTGTGACAAACCCCCAAGAGCTTGGTCCAGGAAGGGGATTTTTCTAAGCCCGTTTGGTCACCAGACTCTGGGCATGGAGTCTGTGGCAGGACTCATGGTGTGTGGAATCATTTTGGGGAAAAGCTGGCCCGAAGTGCCATGAGCCAGGACACCCTAGAAAGTGCTCTGTCTCCTGGGACTTGACCATTTGTTTGGATGTTCACCTACTATGCTCCAAGTGCCATGTCAGGTCTTGTGGGCCCACAGCTGAGGGTGGAGGCTTCTACAATGATCATTACTACATGTAGGAGGAGTTGGTTTGCTGGAGGGACAGGTAGGAAAGAGCCAGGAGAACTATCCGTGCATCTCAATCCATGTAGGAGGCTGAGGCTCAGAGGGGGCAGGAGCCTTTCCCATGTCACCCAGCACGCCCCTGGCTCCCCTGGAGGTGACGTCCTCTATCTACCCTTGTAGACTATGTCCCTGTGGTGGGGGCCAGGGAGGGCTAAGAGGGAAATGTAGCACTTCATTTTGTTTCCTCTTCTGCCCTCAGTTCCCCCCACATTTAAGCAGACTTCCAGCGGCCCCCAGGACACAGTCCTGGTACCATCTGGAGACAAAGCTGTCCTGAACTGTGAGACAGACTCTCTCCCTGAGCCTGATGTGACCTGGTACAAAGATGGGCAGCCCCTGGTCCTGACACAGCGGTCCCAGACTCTGCTGGGTGGCCAGAGACTGGAGATCCTGGACACCCAGGTAAGAAACCTGGGAGGCATGGGCAGCTGTGGGCAGCTATAGGTGGCTGCAGGACAGTCGTTTCCTAGCTCTGGTGAGCCTGAGGGGTGTTGGAAGGCAGGTGTGTGGAGGCTGCTGCCTTCTTGGCCCACAAGACCCTAAACCAAGGGGGAGGCATAGGGAGAGCACAGGGCTCCATCTAAATGGGTTCTGGACCTGGCTCTACCCTGACCCATGGAGTAACCTTGAGCAGGTCCCTTCTATGTTCCTTGATAATAAAGAGCTATAGGATCTAGAAACTTTGCAGGCTATTCTGGTCAGTCACAGCAGCCTGTGACTCTCTGAAATCTGTTCTGCCCACCCTGCTAGGCGTGGATTAGACAGGATGAACATCTTTTTGCCTTCTGGAACTCCATTCTGGGCTCCTCTTTTCTGGCCCATTCCCATTCCCATCCCCACAGCGAGGCGGCTTGTCCTCTGGACTTGACAGATACACAGGCCCAGATCAGGGAAGCAGTTCTGCCTGTCCTCTTGCTCCTCAAGTCTCTTAGAAAAGGCTAGAAAGTCCCATCTCCTATTGGCTTCCTAGGCAGGACCAGCCTATGTGTGGAGTTGTTGCTCTTGAAGCTTCTGGGATGTGGAGTTTTGAGAGAGCCCTAGGTAACCCCATGTACATCCCCACTATACACTCTCTCTGTCCCAGGTGTCAGATAAAGGTTTATACAGCTGTAAAGTCAGCAATGTGGCTGGAGATGCCATGCGGACCTTCATCCTCACCATCCAGGGTAAGCTGGGCATTGAGTGTGAAGGGGTCAGCCTGGATATTGTTGCCATGGAAACTTGAGCCTCACCCAGGGGCTGCCAAAGACAAAAAAAGGCAATAACTGGAAAGGGGTGCTGCTGAGTGAATAAGGGTACATGATCTAGAACCAAAAGGACTAGGATCCAAATATGGCTCTGCTAACAACTTGTTTTGTAGGGATTAGGAGTTACTTTGCCCCACTGAGCCTCACATTTATCTTCAGTAAAGGGGGCTAAAAGCATCAGCTGCCTGCTGGATATGTAGGAGGCACTTGGCCTCATGGGACCATCACGATTACCTCTATAAAGTAGTGGGCACGGGGCCTGGCATGGCAAGTAAGTTCTTAGATGAAGGAACCCTTAGAACAGAGACTTGGGAGGCTGGAGCCATGTCGCCTCCAATCGTGAAGCTCAAGGGGATTGTCCCATCAGCCCAAGAACAAAACATGGATGGTATTTGATTGGCTATGTGGCTTGAGCTGGGGGAAAGAGAGCCTGTTTGAGCTATCTAGAGAAGCAGGGGATGGAGGTCTGGCCAGATTTTCTTGGGGTCAGGTGTTGTATCAGTTAGGGTATAGACTAAGCTGTGTAGCAAAGAGGCCTCCAATATTATGGATTCAGTGAGAGAGACATTTACCTCTCTCATCTAAAAGCTCAGAATTGCATGTCTACACCGGTGGACATGCATCCAGTCAATACTGTTCCACTGGTAGTGGCCATCTGGAATACATGCGACATCTTGGCTGAGCAGGAGTGTTGGGATCCATTAGTGATGTCTGTCCTGGAGTAGGATGAAGCCTGCTGGTGCATTCGCTATGCAGTGATCATCTTTGGTCTAAGTGGACCACTTCTGAGCTCTGCTTTGTAACAGTCAGCAACTATTTACATTTGTGAATGAAGCAATCCAAGTCTCCATCAGCAGCAGAGGATAAAATGTGAACTCCTAACTACAAAACAGGGCTCTGCGGGCAACCCTGATCTGCCCAATAGGAAGGAAAATAGGGGGGAATGCTCAAGATTCTGGGAATCTGACTTCTTTCCTTCAGTGCCCCCAATGTTTGAGAACCCTAAGATGGAGACAGTGAGCCAGGTGGCTGGAAGCCCTCTGGTCCTGACCTGTGATGTGACTGGAGTCCCTGCACCCACTGTTACGTGGCTGAAGGACAAAATGCCTGTTGGTGAGTACACCATGTCCTTCTTATCTTTTTAGGGTCAAATATTCCTTTATATAACAAAAGACAGCAAAAGCAAGAAAAAGTTGTTTATTGTTAGATGTTCTTGGCAGCACAGTGTGGGCCCCACCTCCTCTTTGTCTTTTAATATTATTGGTCCTTGAAATCCAAATGTCCACCTGGAACTGCTCTTACGGGGTCCTTGTGCCTTCAGTGCACTCTCAGGAGACACAAGACCCCAGTTCTATGCTGTGCAGGGCCTGACACTGAGCTTGTCCCAGAAGCTGCTCCGCTAGTGACTCAACTCTGACCAGAGCCCATCCAGAACTTTCACCTTCTCCTGTCCTCTTCCTCTCTCCGCATTCACCCCATCAGCCAATCAGTGGACCCCTCGTCCTGTCAGCCAATAGATACCACTGGCTCAGGATCTCCACCCATGGCCTCCTCTGGGTCCTAATGCCATCATCCCCCTCCCCACCCCCACATTGATCTACTGGGCCCACTCTCATTGAGACGCAATCCATACTGAAGACTTTGGTCTTTGATCTTCATCAATAAGTATTTTAAGCCCTCTTCACTTTCAACAAAGGAGCTCTGGTAGCGTAGTGGTTACGAATCGGGCTGCGAACCTTAAGGCTAGCAGTTCAAAATTACCAGCTGCTCCGCGGGAGAAAGATGAGGTGTTTTGCTCCCGTAAAGATTTACAGCCTCGGAAACCCTGTACAGGGTCACTATGGGTCGGAACCGACTCGACGGCACTTAACTACTAACTACTACTCACTTTCAGCAAGCAAGGTTGTATCATCTGCATGTCACAGGTTGTTAATGAGTCTTCCTCTAATCCTGATGCCACGGTTTTCTTCATATAATCCAGCTTCTCGGATTATTTGCTCAGCATACAGGTTGAATAAGTATGGAAAGAATACAACCCTGTCATATACCTTTCTTAATTTTAAACCATTCAGTGTTTCCATGTTCTGTTTGAATAACTGCCTCTTGGTCTATGTACAGGTTCCTCATGAGCACAATTAAGTGTTCCGAAATACTCACACTTTGCAATATTGTCCATAGCTTGCATAGTCAATAAAGCACAGGTAAGAATATTTCTGGTATTCTCTGCTTTCAGCTAAGATCCATCTGACATCAGCAATGATATCCCTTGTTTCACATTCGCTTCTGAATCCAATTTGAACCTCTGGAAGCTCTCTGTCAATGTATGGTTGCAGCCATTTCTGTATTACATTTAGTAAAACTTTATTCTCATGGGATATCAAAGACATTGTCCAATGATTTCTGCATTCCGTTGGGTCACCTGTCTTTGGAATGAAACACGAATCTCTCCCAATCAGTTGGCCAGATAGTTGTCTTCCAAATTTCTTGGCAGGGATGAGTGAGTGCCTCCAGTGCTGCCTCACTTTCTTGAAAAATTTCAATTTGTATTCCATCAATTCCCTGTGCCTTGTTCTTTGCCAATTCCTTCAATGCACCTTGGACTTCTTCCTTCAGTATCATTGGCTCTTGGTCATATGCTACCTCTTGAAACGGTTGAACATCAACCATTTCCTTTTGGTACAGTGACTCTGTGTATTCCTTCCATCTTCTTTTGATGCTTTCTGCATCATTCAATAATTTCCCCAGAGAATCTGTCAATAACGAAAGTCGAAGCTTGAATGTTTTCTTCAGTTCTTTCAGCTTGAGGAATGCTGAATGTCTTCTTCCCTTTTGGTTTTTTAACTCCAGATCTTTACACATTTTGTCGTAATATTTGACTTTCCCTTCTCAAGCTGATCTTTGAAATTTTCTGTTCAGCTCTTGTTCCTCCTCATTTCTTCCTTTGCTTTAGCATCTTTATGCTGGTGAGCAAGTTTCAGTGTCTCTTCTGCTATTCAGTTTGATCTTTTCCTTCTTTCTTGTCTTCTTAATGACTTTTTGCTTTCTTCCTGTATGATGTTCTTGGTGTCATTCCACAACTCTTCTGGTCTTCGGTCTTTAGTGTCAAATGTATCATCTGTTCTTCAGATGACCTCTAAATTCAAGGTCATATTTTGGCTCTCGTCGACTTGTTTTCATTCTCTTAAACTTCAGTCTGAATTTGCATATGAGTGATTGATGGTCTGTTCTACAATCTGCCCCCGCCTTGTTTTGGCTGATGTTATGGAGCTTTTTCACCTTCTCTTTACACAAATGTAGTCAGTTTGATTTCTGTATATTCCATCTGGTGAGGCCCATGTGTGTAGTCATCTCTTATATTGTTTTAAAAAGGTATTTGAAATGAACAAATCATTGGTTTTGCAGAATGCTATCATGTGATCTTCAGCATCATTTCTATCATCAAGGCCATATTTTCTAACTACTGATTCTTCCTCTTTGTTTCCAACCTTAGCATTCCAATTGCCAATGATAGACAAGTGGTGGGAATAAGTTGTTGGTCTTGCAAAATTCTATTATGCAGTCTCCAGCATCATTTCTATTACCATGACCATATTTTCTATCAGATCCTTCCTTTTTGTTTCCAACTTTTGCTTTTGAATCACCAGTCATTATCAGTGCATCTTGATTACATGTTTGATCAATATCAGCCTGAAGAAGTTGGCAGAATTCTTCAATTTCATCATCACTGTCATTAGTGATTGGTGCATAAATTTGAGTAATAGTTGTATTAACTGGTCTTCCTTGTAGTCATATGGAGATTATCCTATCACAGACAACATTGTACTTCAAGATAGATCATGAAATGTTCTTTTTGATAATGAGTGCCACACCATTACTCTTTCATTTGACTTTCCCAGCATAGTAATCCATGATTGTCAGATTCACAATGGCCTATACCAGTCCATTTCAGCTCACTAATGCCTACAATATCAATGTTTATGTATTCCATTTCATTTTTGACAGCTTCTAATTTTCCTAGATTCATATTTTGTACATCCACTTTCTGGTTATTAATGGATGTTTGCAACTGTTTCTTCTCATTTTGAATTGATGAAAATCAGAAAAGCTTTGCTCTCTCCACGCCGTTAATGCCGATTCTACTTTGAAGAGGCAGCTCTTCCTCAGTTGCATTTTGAGTGACTTCCAAACGGAGAAGCTCATCTTCCAGCACTATATTAGACAATGTTCCACTGCTATCCATAAAGGTATCAGTGATGAAACATTCAGAAGTAGTCTGCCTCACCTTCCTACTCTGTCTTAGTCTGGAAGCTCCTCTGAAGCCTACCCACCATAGCTGACCCAGCTGGTATTTAAAATACTGGTGGCATAGCTTCTAGCATCATAGCAACACACAATTCACCACAGTATGACAAATTTACAGATAAGTACCGTGTGCAGCCATACTGTAGTTAATTTAAGAACATTTCATCACCCCCAAAAGAAATATCATACCTGGAAACAGCCACTTCTCATTTCTCCCAAGCCACCCAGCCCTAGACAACCACCAATCTACTTCTATCTCTATGGATGTACCTATTCTGAACAATATGATTGTATAAATGCAACAATACATCATGGAACCATTTGTGATTGACTTCTTACACTCAGCATAATATTTCCAAGCTCACTAATTGTCTAGGCTATCGATTTTTATGTATTCCATTTCATGTTTGACAACTTCCAATTTTTCTAGCTTCATACTTCATATGTTCCACCTTCCGATTATTAGTAGATGTTTGCGGCTGTTTCTTCTCATTTTGAGTTGCCTAGGAGTCCTGGTGTGGCACTTCAGGTAATGTGCTGGACTGTAAAGTCAGTTTGAACTGCAAGGTCAGCAATTCAAGCTCATCAGCTGCTCCTAGGAAACCCTATACAAAGTCCCTATGAGTCGGAACTGACTCCAAGGCACTTAACAACAATAAAGGATAGCTATATTGTAGCATTTACCAGAACTTCATTTCATTTATTGCCAAATACTATTCTCTGTGGACATATCACATTTTATGAATCCATTCATTCATTCATGGACATTTGGGTTGTGCCCACTTTTTGACTTTTATGAGTCATGCTGCTATGAACACACATACATGCACAAGTTTTGTGTGGATTTACGCTTTCAGTTCTCTTGAGTATGTACCCACTCCTTGCTTAACAACATGATTAGGTTCCAAAGATCAAGCTGCTATGCAGAATCACTGTTATGTGAGAGCCAGGGTTCATCTTGTGTTCAGCATGGGTGTACTGTCTGTCCCCAGTGGCTCACTGACCATCAGCCAGTGGTACGTCTCAGGATGTACATGGTACTGTGTGTCCCCTTTCTCTACCATGCTTTCCCCACCACTGTGGAGCCTTGGGGGTTGGTGGTGTCTGTAGGTGGGTATTGCCTGCTACTACTACCTGCCCTGGGTGAGACCCCACTCATTCTGTCTGCCCTGCACAGTTCCCTCCCCTCTCTCCACGTCTTGTCTCCCCCTACCAACTTCCCTGGCAGCTTCCCTCTGCCCACCCAGGATCTTGCATCTTCTGCAGTTACCCTGAACCCTCTGTGGCCAGACCAAGACATGCAGGTAAATGGGAGAAGGTGTCCCATGACTAGTCAGCTGCTGTCACTCACATGTTCTGATCGTTGCTGGGCCCCCCAGTATATTGTGGGTCATTGGCAGTGCTACCTGAAAGTTTTTCAAAGTTGTAGCAAATGCAAAATGTCAGATAAGAGATCACTGATACAGTAAGGAGTAGTAGGTGCATATTGGGGGTGGGGGTGGAACTGCTAGGGTACTGTCTCTCTTGATTCTAGACTTTTGTGCATGCTGTTCTCCTGGCTGGAATTCCACCCTGACCCCGGTTAACCCCACTTTCACGGGCTAAGTCCTGCTAACGTTCACATCTCAACTGATACTCATTCCCTCTGAAGCCCTCTGTGACCACCCTCACCTCTAGGACCCTGGGCTCCATTAGGGGCTTTGCCTATCTCCTCTGATACATTTTTAACTCCTTGAGGACAAGAATGGTGTCTTATTCATCTTTAATTTCCAGGCTTAAGATTGGGACATATAGTAGGAGCTCAATCAACTTTGTGTTGGAAGTTGATTAGACAAATGAGGATCTGACAGAGTGTGGGTCAGCCTGGGTTGGTACAGTTAGAGAAAGCCTCGGACAGAGGTGAGCTGACAAGAATGAAAAGGGAGACCTCTCAGGCTGGGGCTGGAGGTGGGGTACAGCAACCGAAGCAGAGGTCCAGGGGAAGGCCTGGGTCAGGGTCATTGAGGGACTGGTCCACTTTGGTAGGTCGGAGGGAGGTACAGGTGTAGAATTATAGGGAGGGTGGAGCATGGGGGCTGGGCTTGAGAGTCAACAGGAAGAGTAGTAAGGTTCTTGGGTCCTAAAGGGAACTGGGTCCCTTGGGAAGAAATGCCTTCAGTGGAAGCAAATCAGATGGAGTTTTAAGGAATAGACAATCAAAGGAATACAGGCTGCTAGAGTTTGAAATGTATAAGAGAAGGAAATTCTGCCCCACTCTGGGCCTCAGTTTCCCTATGAGCATAGAAGAAATGGGTGATTTGATGGTTCCCGGTGGTCTTTCCAGCTTTGTGGGTCACATGACTTCTGTGTCCGGTGGTGGTCTTGTGCTGGTGAAGGCCTGGCATGTCCTTCCTCCCACAGAGAGCAGTGTGGCCCAGGGCGTGGTCTCCCGAGGGGGCCGCCTCCAGCTGAGTCGCTTACAGCCAGCTCAGGGTGGCACCTACACATGTGTGGCTGAGAATGCTGAGGCTGAGGCCCGCAAGGACTTCCTGGTGGCTGTGCTAGGTACATCTTTGCCCTGAGTCCCTTTCCTGCCCCCACCCCATGCTTGCCCCTACCTCTGCCCCAGGCCTTACCCATAGGCCCCTGCCACAGTGGCCCCCTGGATCCGGAGCTCAGGCACCGCCCAGGAGCACAATGTCTTAGAGGGGCAGGAGGTGCGACTAGACTGCGAAGCCGAGGGCCAGCCACCTCCAGATGTGACCTGGCTAAAGGACGGTGGGCCATTGGACCAGGGTGTGAGTCCCCACCTCCGGTAAGTCCAAGCCTGTACCTTCCCCATGCAGGCAGTGGGGCCCCTAGGCCCTCACACACCTACTCTCGGCTCTCCCTCCCTGTGCAGATTCTACCTGGATGGCAGCTCCCTGGTGCTGAAGGATCTGAGGGCCTCAGACTCTGGTGCCTATACCTGTGTGGCCCACAACCCTGCTGGGGAGGACGCCAGACTGCACACTGTGCACGTGCTGGGTGAGGAGGGCAGCCCCCACCGTCTGGGACCGCTAGCAGTGTGATCAACATGGGAGCCTACAGTAGAGGCACCTGGGAGAGTGAGAGCTGGCTCAACTATGTGCAAGCCAGGCCACTATCAGACCTCTCTGGGCCTCAGTCCCTCATCCACAAACTAGACATGTAACAACTCCAACCCTCTGGATCTTAAGGGGAATCTTAGAGGATAAGTGTAAATGACCCCTCAGTGGTCCTCATTCCTCACATGGGGTGCATATGGTTGTTTGTGGCAGAATGCTAGGTATTGGCACTTTCCTGATGGGACACCTACACCCCGAGCCCCTCATTGTTCCTCTTCTGTCCTCTCTGCCCACCCCCAGTCCCACCCACCATCAAGCAGGGAGCAGACAGCACTGGAACCCTAGTGAGCAGACCTGGGGAGCTGGTGACCATGGCGTGCCCCGTCCGGGGCTCCCCACCCATCCACGTGAGCTGGCTCAAGGACGGCCTGCCCCTCCCGCTATCCCAGCGCACACACCTCCATGGCTCTGGCCAAACCCTCAGGTAGGGAAGCAGCTCCCCATCTTGGCCTGCCAACTGATCGTAGACCCCAGTGACACCCTTCAGGCAGCTTGAGTTTTAAACACATCTGTGTACTGACTGAAATAAAAATGATATAGATAGCCATTTATGATGGAGAGAATGAGAGGACTCCAGTCTCAAATAGAACTCCACTGGAGCTCAGAGATGAAGGGGCCTCCACCCTCAGACACCCATACAGAATATGGAGGTGGCACCTCATGGTCCCCAATGCAACCTGGCTCTGGGGCAGAGAAAATGAAGAAAGGTTTCCAGAAAACAGGTGCCTGAGCAAAGTCTTCATGCATTCAAAGACACTTATAGAGTGCTTAGTGTTCCAGGCAGGATAAGCACTGGACCGCAAGGTCAATTTGAACCACAATGTCGGTGGTTCAAACTCACCTCAGAAGCCCTCATTACACAGGGTCAGTTGCTATGAGTTGGAACCAACTTGACGACACTTACAACAACAACAAGTGTTCCAGACAGAGGGATAGAGCAGGGGGCAAGAGAAAGCCCCTGCTTCTGCAAGTTTCAGGGGACAGGGGCATATGTGTGTAAAACAAACAGATGTAAGAATGAAATGTCAGGAAGGATACATATTCTGAAGAAGAATACAGCAGGGGGAGGGGTTAGGCGGTGCTATTTTAGGGTGCTCACAGTGGCATCTGTGGTGAACCTGAGGGAGAGACAAGAGGGCAAATGGATTCAGAAGAGAATAGAGTCTAGACAAAGCAAACAAAACCTGAAGATACTGAGATGGGAGTGTGCCCAGTGTGCCCAAGAAACAGAGTGAATGAAGATGGGAGAGAATCAGGGAAGGCTAGAGGCTGTAGGGCATTACCAACCCCTGGAAAGACTTGGGGTTTTTTTCTTAAGAAAGATGGAAACCCACGGGGGAAGGGACGAGGCAGTGCAGGAGCACAATGATCTGACTTAGGCGCTCCAAGAATCCTTCTGGCTGCTGCATGGACAACTGACTATGGGGCGAGGGTTGTTGTAAGCATCCAGGTGAGGCAGGACGTGGCCTGGGCCAGGGAAGGGAATTGTGACGAACTGAGAGTAAGAGAAGATTCACAGACGAGGCCAAGTATTGTACTGTAGAGTGCAGGGAGATGGGCATTCAGGGAGTGCCAACAAACAGGTGGTTCTAGAAGCCAGGAGTAGCTGTAGCCCCCAGGATGAGTGTGGACTGCAGCCCTGACTGCCAGTTTAGGGCAGATCTAAAGAGAGAAAGGCCAAGGAAAAAGGTAGACCAGGAGTATGTGGGGAGTAGGAGGAAGTAGAGGAGGATGTGCCATCGTGGGAGGGAGAGGCCAACAGACCAAATGAGACAAGGCTTGGGAATTGACCATTGGCTTTGGTGACACCGTGGTTGGTCGTGGCCTTGACAAGAAGTTTAGGAGGTGTGGTTCAGGCAAGAGCCAGATTGGAGTGGGTTCCCAGAAGGTGAAAGAACAGACTGTGGAAACAACTCTTACAGAGTCTGAAGGCAAAGACGCAAGCTGTCCTCACAGCAGGACCAACAGAAGCCTAGAGACCAGAGAAGCTGTCAGAACGTTGGAAACAGGAAACTTGGCTGTGGAGCCAGGTGGGATTAAGATGGCAATAGGCCCTGAGAAAGAAGAGATTTGGGACTTTACTGTGGGGACATTGGAGAGCCAGGAAAGGGTACATGTAAGCAGAGGCTAGACTTGTTCAGGTTCACATGTTAAGGTGTGCCCACTGAGCTTACCCATCTCTCACTCCTCTTGGATATTCAGGATTTCCCAGGTGCAGTTGGCAGATTCGGGCATTTTTACCTGTGTGGCTGCAAGTCCAGCTGGCGTGGCTGACAGGAACTTCACCCTGCAGGTGCACGGTATGAAGCAGGGGGTGGGGTGCATAGGTCATTTGGCCTTGACAGGTGAGAATCAAGACCCTTGTCCCCTCTGCTCCTCTGGGTGAAAGGAAGGATCAGTCATGATATCAATGTAAGGTCAACACATCAACTTGGTCTTGCATGGATTCGGTTTATCTTCCATTCATCTCATAGGTAGTGGTAGGATGCTCTGGGAAGCCTGGGACTTGCCAGGTGTAAAATGCAGCTGAGAGCAGAGGTGACTCCTGCCCACAGGAAACAGTGTGGGAAGTAGCTCTGTAAAGAGATCACTACAATTCTGGGGGAAATAGAGGATGTTGGAGAGTCCTTCGGTGGTGCAAACGGTGAACACACTCAGCTGCTAAATGAGAGATTAGAGGTAAGTCTACCTAGAGGCATCTCAGAAGAAAGACCTGGAGATCTGCTTGCAAAAACCCTGGAAACCCTCTGGATCATAGTTCTACTCTGACACACATGGGGGTGCCATGAGTCAGAGCCAACTGCATGGCATCTGATGGAAAGATGCTGTGAGAACACAGAGAAGGGCCCTCACCTGGCCTTGGAGGTTCAGGGAAGGCTTCCTGGAGGAGGCAAGGTTCTAAGCTCAGAATTGAAGATGAGAAGGGAATGTCCAGGAAAAGGGCCTTCTGGCCAGAAGTAACAAACAGCCTGTGCTAAAGTCCAGAGGTGAGGACAGCATGGCATGGAATAAAATGACTCCCAACCACCCTTTGCCTCCACAGTGCCCCCTGTCCTGGAGCCAGTGGAGTTCCAGAAAGACGTGGTAGTGGTCCGTGGCTCCTCAGTGGTCCTCCCCTGTGAGGCCCGGGGCAGCCCTCTGCCCCTCGTGTCATGGATGAAGGATGGGGAGCCCTTATTTCCTCAGAGCGTGGAGCAGGGGCCTGGCCTACAGCTGGAGACCGTGAAGCCCAGTGACTCAGGGACCTATTCCTGTGTGGCCACAAGCAAGACAGGGGAAGCCAAGAGGCATTTCCAGCTGACAGTGATGGGTTGGTCATTTGCCCAGTGGACCAGGGTGGAGAGGGCAGGGCTCTAGGGCATGGTGGAGAAGATGGGGGTGGGGAAGGGAGGCTTGAGGTTGCTGCCTGGGAGCAGGGCTTCTGAGATGTGTTGGGTCATTGCAGGTCACTGACTTGGTCTGCAGGGGCTTGGGCAGCTGGGATGTTTGAGTCTCTCAGGGCTGTAGGCCTTGGTCTTATCCACCAAACTTTGATGGCAGAAGCAAGATTAAGAGTCACCAAAATCTGGGGACAGAGCCCAAGTTTCAAGCACAATATTTTGCAGTGTTGGAAAAGTGCCTGCAAATAGTGCTTCCCTCAGTACTGTGTCCTTATGGGGTTTAAAGCACCGCTCATGGTTGCTTACCCTTGAGGGTCAATGTGCATCTGAGAGACCAGTTTCTGATGTCTGCAGTACTTTAGAGCCCTCATCCCCCTGTTTGCAATCCATTCTGTTAGCTACTGGTGGGCAGAGAATAGCAAGGAGATAAGTCCCAGCTCCCAACCCACCACTGTGGCCCTCATGGCTGGCTGGGGTGGGGGGTTTTCTTGCAGATCCTCCCCACATCGAGGACTCCGGCCAGACAGCAGAACTGTGGCTGACCCCTGGCGCCCCCTTGGAGCTCCTCTGTGATGCCCAGGGCAGCCCTCCACCCAACATCACCTGGTATAAAGACGGGCAGACCCTGAGCCGGTCAGAGAACAGCAACAGGGCCAACCGGGTGCTGCGGGTCGAGGGTGTGCAGGTGCTTGCTATAGGATGAACCTGGGGGTGGGGGTGAGGAGAGGTTATGCCAAGCCCTGTACAGGGTCTGAGGATGTGGAGACAACCACATGGGCCATGTCTGCAGGGACCTCCCAGCTGGGTCAGAGCCAAGGCTGATGCACAAACCAAATAACTTCCCATCCAGGGTGTCCTAGGGGCAGAGGAGAGCTGACACATTTTCCAGAAGAGGCGGGCCTTGCTCTAGCCTCTGAAGAAAGAGTGAGATGGAATGGGGAAGGACATTTCAGAGAGAGGGAATGGGTTGGCTGGGAAGGCAGTATGGGGGAGTCGTCAGCCAGGTATAGGAAGGAAACCAGGACTGGAGGTGGGCAGACAGGTGCTCACTTCACTCCACGCCCCCAGGTGGGCGATGCTGGGCTATACACTTGCCTGGCCAAGAGCTCTGCTGGCGAAGTCGAGAAGAACTTCCGAGTCAGAGTTCAAGGTAGGGGGTGCAGAGGTCTGGGGAGAGGTGGGAGGCAAGACACCGCCTGTAGAGGCGAGTCCATCTCTTATGTCCTCTCTGCCCCTGCCCAGCCCCTCCAAGTGTTGTTGGAGCCCGTGGTTCCCGCTCTGTGGTTGGCCTGGCCCCGGGGCAGCTGGTCCTAGAATGCTCAGTGGAGGCAGAGCCAGCACCTGAGATTGAGTGGCACCGAGATGGAATCCTGATGCAGGTAGGGACCAGTTTGGGGACCCAGAAGCTCTGTTTTCTGTCTTTCTCAGGTCCCAGATCCAGGGTGCTGAGGAAAACAATTGCATATTGCTTCCCTCCCTGCATTTTCTCACTCCCCATTGTTTCTATCATCCCCATTTCAAGGATGGGAACACTGAGGCAAGGTTGGGATTTGCACTAGGGCTCCTTCCCATTGTACCTTCCAGCTACACTTAATGGCTGTGTGGCTTGGGTTATTTACTGAGTTTTTTCAGTTCTTCCCTCTAGTGCAGCCAGTTTGCTGCTGTGGACCCAAGGATTGTAGGGCCTTACAATGAGAACACCAGCTCCTTATCAGAGGATGAGTCCCCTCTGCAAGACCCCAGACAGGCAGAGCTCCCAAACAGTGTGTCATCCCCACCCAGAACACCCCCAAGGCTGCCTGCCAACTCAGGAGGGGGCAGAGGCCACTGGTACCTTGGCCTTCCTTACTCCTCGCCCCCCCCGTCTCTGTAGGCAGATGCCCACACACAGTTCCTTGAGCAGGGCAGGTTCCTCAGGCTGCAGGGCCTGAGCACAGCCGACAGTGGTGACTACAGCTGCACAGCACGCAACCCTGCAGGCAGCACCAGTGTAGCCTTCCACGTGGACATCCACAGTGAGTGTACCCCACCCCACCCCACCCCACCCACACTTCCTACAGCTCCAGAGGCTCCCAGCACCTGTTTCCTTTGATTCTCCTCCAGCAACACCCACCATCCAGCCGGGGCCACCCACAGTGAACGCCTCAGCAAACCAGACTGCCTTGCTGGTCTGCCAAGCCAATGGGGTGCCCCAGCCTCTGGTGAGCTGGCTGAAGGACGGGGCTCCTCTGGATCCTCAGAACCCAAGGTAGGAACTGGAATGGGGAGGACACTCTGGTCCTTCTCACGTGCCACTCTGCCAGTAGAAACAAACACCCACTTGGGCAGTGGGAGCAAGAACACCGGGTGTTTCTCAGGACAGGCATGTCCACGAATTAAATGTATAGAGATGTTCTCTGCTTCTGTGTATGTGAGCTTCATGTCTACGTTATGCTTAGACCACTTTCACACTTTCTTTCTCTGTGCACACGACAGATGTGCTCCCCAAGTTTACAGTGAGTTCCTCAGTTCACCCAACCTGCAAGGCCTAGTGAGGCATCAGTGAATATCAGTTCCAGATTTGTAGGGCACAGAATTCCACATGGAAATGCTAAAGCAAATGGAAGAAACGAAGAGGTAAAAGAGCTGAACAGAACATTTCAAAGGGCACCTCGAGAAGACAAAGTCAAATATTAATAAATGAAATGTGCAGACCTGGAGTTGGAAAACCAAAAGGGAAGAATATGCTCAGCATTTCTCAAGCTAAAAGAACTGAAGAAAAAATTCAAAACATGACTTGCAATGTTGAAGGATTCTATGGGCAAAATCTTGAATGATGCAGAAAGCATCAAAAGAAGATTGAAGGAATATACAGAGTCACTATACCCAAAAGAAATGGTTGATGTTCAACCATTCCATGAGGTAGCATATGATCACTAGCCAATGATACTGAAGGAAGAAGTCCAAGGTGCACTGAAGGAAGGTATTGGCACAGAACAAGGTACTGGGAATAGATGGAATACAGATTGAAACATTTCAAGAAACTGAAGCAGCACTGGAGGCACTCACTCATGCCAAAAAATTTGGAAGACAGTCACCTAGCCAACTTATTGGAAGAGATCCATATTTGTCACCATTCCAAAGAGAGGTGACCCAATAGAATGTGGAAATCATTGGACAATATCATTAACATTGCATGCAAGTAAAATTTTGCTAAAGGTAATTAAAAAACGGCTGCATTAACGGAGCTTCCAGATGTTCCGGCCGGATTCAGATGGGACGTGGAACAAGGGATAGATATCACTGCTGGTGTCAGATGGATCTTGGCTTAAAGCAGAGAATACCAGAAAGATGTTTACCTGTGCTTTATTGACTATACAAAGCCTTTCGATTGTGTGGATCATGACAAGCTATGGACAACATTGCAGAGAGTGAGTCTTCCAGAACACTTAATTGTGCTCAAGACAAACCTGTACAAAGACCAAGAGGCAGTAAGTAGTTCTAACAGAACAAGGGGACACTGGTTTAAAATCAGAAAAGGTGTGTGCCAAGGTTGTAGTCTTTCACCATAGTCATTCAGTCTCTATGCTGAGAATATAATCCGAGAAGCTGGTTTATATGAAGAAGAATGTGGCATCAGGATTGGAGGAAGACTCATTAACAACCTGAAATATGCAGATGATACAACCTTGCTTGCTGAAAGTGAAGAGGACTTAAAATACTTACTGATGAAGATCAAAGACTATAGCCTTCAGTTTGGGTTGCACCTCAATGTAAAAGCAAAACAAAACAAAAAAAGCCCCAAATCCTCACAAGTGGAGAAATAAATAACATCAAGATGAATGGAGAAAAGATGGAAGTTGTAGAAGACTTCATTTTGTTTGGAGCAACACTCATGGAAGCAGAAGTTGAGAAGGCAAATGTGCTACACAAGACCTCTTTAAAGTGTTGAAGAGCAAAGATGTCAGTCTGAGGATTAAGGTGCACCTGGCCCAAACCATAGTATTTTCAGTAACCTCATATACATGTGAAAGTTGGACAATGAATAAGGAAGACCACAGAAGAATTGATGCATTTGAGTTATGGTGTCAAAGGAGAGTAATGGAGGTATCGTGGACTGCCAGGAGAACAAACAAATCTGTGTTGAAAGAAGCACAGCCAGAATTCTCCTTACAAGCCAGGATGGCCAAGCTTTGTCTCTCATATTTCAAACATAGTATCAGGAGGGGCCAGTCCCTGAAGAAGGACATCATGTTTGACAGAGTGGAAGGTCAGCAGAAAACAGAAAGACCCCCAATGAGATGGATTGGCACAGTGGCAGCAGCAGTGGGCTCCAGTGTAACAATGATTGTGAGATTGATGCAGGACCGGGCAGTGTTTCATTCTGTTGTGCATAATATTGCCATGAGTCAGTACCAACTCAATGACACCTAACAACAAAAGGGCATAGAAATCAATTGGTCCAGCATGAGTGACATGTCCATCCTCAGTAACCACAGGGAGGATTGCACCTCTCAGACCTGGTTTTAGAGTTGACCTTGGGAATGAGTAGGTCTCAGAGCAGGAGAGGCGGGGCCAGGCAGAAGTGTGGGAGGCCTGAAGCAGCTCCTCTCTCCTCCTTTGTGATGCTGGGTTGGAACTGCCAATGACTGTGATCCTCTGACCTTGGCCTCGGGCTCGCAGGACTCAGACTGCTGAGGTGCACCCTCTTGCTGGGGTGAGGAGGAAGGTTTTACTGGAAATACCACAAGAGGTCCAGGCTTTCACAGTGCCCAGCTTGGCCTGCTGGTCTCCATGGTAACCCCTCCCTCTTTTCCAGATTGGAGGTTTTACCTAAAGGTTCCCTGAGGATCCAGCCAGTCCTGGCCCAAGATGCTGGCCACTACCTCTGCATGGCATCCAACTCCGCAGGCTCTGATCGGCAAGGCCTAGATCTCCAGGTTTTCGGTAGGTGGACAAGGAAGGGTGTGTTCCTTGTCTTCAGCCTCCAACACTCACTCTGGGCTATGTCCTGCTTGGTTTCTGGACCACTCCACATGTCCAGAGCCAAGAACCAAATGTTTTACATCATGAGGCTCATTAGTAAAAAGATCTTAGCATACACACTCTTAAGTATGCATATTCATGTTCATGCATATATTTTCCACTGTACTATTGCATTGTTGTTGTTAAGTGCTGTCAAGTCGGTTCTGACTCATGGTGACCCTTTACAGGGTTTCCAAGGGTGGCTGGTGAGTTTGAACTGCCAACCTTGTATTTCAAACTAACAGTGCTTTATCCTACAGAGCCAGACCAGGACCCAAAAGTACCCAACTGCCATTGAGTCAATTCTGACTCCTAGTGACTCTCTAGGACAGCGTAGACCTGCCCCCCAGGGTTTCTGAGGCTGTAATTACTTATGGAAAGGAGTTCTGGTAGCATAGTGGTTACGAATTGGGCTGCTATCGTGATCAGCAGTTCGAAACTACCAGCTGCTCCAAGGGAGAAAGATGAGGCTTTCTGCTCCCATAAAGATTTACAGCCTCGGAAACCCTATACAGGGTTGCTGTGAGTCAGAACCGACTCCACAGCACATAACAACAACAACTATTTAGGGAAGCAGACTGCCTTATCTTACTCCCATGGAACAACTCATGGGCTTGAACCACCCACCTTCCTCGTGGATATCCGCAGGGTTCATTAAGTGTGTGATAAGGCATGCACAGAACGTAAAAAATGCAAAGTATAAACTAAATTTCACTGTGATCTGATGCTCTGAGCTCTTCTTCCCACTCCAGTGGACAACTTGGGTGAGGCCACTCTAGGGACCCCTGCCTTCAGTGCTGATGTGCTGGTGGGGCAGTAGAGGCCTTGTTCAAGGAGAGATAATTTGGGGGATGTCAGCCTCAGTAATAAGGAAAATCCCAGGCACCCCATCTTCTGGAGCCTACTCAGCCCACTCTCACTTACTTCCTTGGGGATGGGTTGAGGGTAGTAGCCAGTGCCCCTTGCCCCTGCCTCCATCCTATGCCCTGTTTTCTGATGAATGCACTCTCCCCAGAACCTCCTGCCATCGCCCCTGGCCCCTCCAATCTGACCCTGACTGCCCACACCCGCACCTCACTGCCTTGTGAGACCAGCGGCTTCCCCAAGCCTCTCGCGGTCTGGTGGAAGAATGGACAGAAGTTGGACTTCCGCCTGCAGCAGGACACTTACTGGTAACAAGCTGATCCCTTCAGCAACTTCAGAGGATGCAGGGAGTTGGGGGAGGCAGAGAAACGGGTATGTCCAACTCACCGAGGAGGAACCTGGTCTGCAATTGAGGCAGGGGTGTGCTCAACGTCACACAGAAGCCAAACCCAAAGCATCAAACCTGTTGCCATCAAGTAGAACCACCCCATAGGGTTCCCAAGGCTGTAATTGTCACAGAAGCAGACTCCATGTTTTTCTCCTGAGGAGCAGCTGGTAGGTTCAAACCACCTGATCTTTCAGTTAACATCTGAGCGCTTAATCACTGTGCCAACTGGACTCCTTCACCAACACCAGAACCAGCACTTAAGTCCCCAATTATGGTACCTGAAGGGCGTTTACATTAGGTGGACGACTGGCAGCAGGTGGGACATGCAGCCAAAGAGAAAAATGCATGACCTCATAACACTGGGAGGGACTGTGTTTAAAGAGGACTCGAGTTAGTGCTGGCTGATCCTAGACACAAGGCTTCTAGGGGAGGCTCAGTGTCCCCATTTTCTCAAGTGTAGCTGATGGACCATTGGGAGAATTCAACGAGCTGATTCACCAATTAATTCAGCAAAGCTATCTTATGTTAGATGCTAGATGTAAAGCAGGTGCTCCCAATAAACAGGAGCTGCTGTCACAGAGATTTGCCTGTGTTTATGATTATAGAAATTCTTGTAGACAGTTACTGTAAAAAACGTTCAGGGTTGTAATAAGACACAGGGACAAAACAAAAAATCACTCACTTTCCCAGCACCTAGCATTAACTACTGCTGATATTTACAGGGTGAGCTTGGGGCATGTAGAAACTACTAGAATCAAGGGTGGGGTCAAGATGCAGAGAGGGGAAATGGTCATGAGACACCCACATCCAGACTACTCTAGCAGGGAGACCATGTGGCTTGTGTCAGTCCATCTATCCGTCTGCTCAGGCTCCTGCCCTCCAACGCCCTACTCCTCGAAGACCCCAGCCCCCAGGACTCAGGCCAGTTTGAGTGTGTGGTGAGCAACGAGATGGGTGAGGCCCGCAGGCTCTACTGGGTGACTGTTCACGGTGAGTGGGAGTGGGTGAGGAACCTGGGGTGGGCTGGGGTGAGGGCAAGCACCTTCCCTTCCTTGGATGCTCCCTGCTTCACAGACCACCTCCTTCAGGAAGCCTCTCCCACACTGACAACCCTAACATAACTGTATAACCCATTACAAAGCACAGTTTCTGGCTTGCAGGAGTGGTTTCTCCTCAGTCCATCCAGAACTTCCCAAATCTGATTTCATCATCAACATGAAAATCCCTCCCTCCATGGCTGCCCGCTGCCTCCAGGACTGAATCCCAAGTCTCACTATAGCTACAAGGTCCTGTGTGATCCTGCCCCAAGCTCCCCAAGCTTCACTTGCACCAGAGCCAATCTCTCAGAGATCCATTCGTGCTGTCTGCTTGTTGTCCCTCACCTGCAGCCTTCACACATGCTGTTCCCTCTGCCAGAACACTTTTCCCTTCACCCTTTACCCAGCCAACACTGCCTCCTTTCAGATGTTGAGCGAAGTTCTACTTCCCCCTAGAGACTTATCTAGCTTCCCGCAATCCAAGCTGGATCATCCCACCAGCCCCACCCCCCTTCTTGGGACACATTCCGTCTTGTGAAGTGGCAGTACCAGTCTCTATAGAAAGCTCTGTGGGATGGTATCCCTACCCTCAGCAAAAAGATTAGCTGAGTGAGCAATGTGACTTTCCTTCTGTTGTACATCCTCCCTGGCCCTTGGTCACTGAGGGTCCACTTTGTGTTTCCATGCAGAATTTCACCCTCTGTCCCTGTAGCTATATACTCCCCTGTGGATATCAGCAAGACCTCAAGCCTTATCTCATATTTCAGTGCCTCCCACCATTGCCGACGACCAGACGGACTTCACTGTGACCAAGATGGCACCCGTGGTCCTCACATGCCACAGCACAGGCACCCCAGCCCCAGTTGTGTCCTGGAGCAAGGCGGGCACCCAGCTGGGGGCGCGGGGGAGTGGTTACCGTGTCTCACCTTCAGGTAAGTGATGACGAGTCACAGAGAGATGCTACTAAGGGAGATGAGAAGAACTGGGCAGAGAGGGTAAGAGCTGATTGGCCACATGGTGGGGCAGCATGAAAAGCTCTGGTCTGGTTCTACTAGTCTCTTGCTGTGTGACCTAGGGAAACTGCCTTGCCTTCTGTGGACCTCATTACCTCTTTCATGCACTGTAGTTTAGAAATTCATCAGTGGTTCCCTGATGCTAGTTGTCTAATCAGAGTCGTTTCACAGCAAAATAAGAAGAAAATGACTACATAGAGTGTTTTCATAAAGCTAGTCTTCTCTAATTAGAAAGTGTGTCCTGTATTTTGAAACAATACTTTTCTTCATTTTTTCTGTTGAAAGCTTCTTTGTTTATGAAGTGCAGGTAATAGTGGATGGTGTTTGTTTTTGGTTTGTAATGTCTTTGTCAACATAAAACGTTGGCAACTCTAATGTCTGGGAACCGCTGGCTAGATCTGTGATTTTCAAACTCTTATGAAGCTGTAGAGCTCTCCCTTCCAACAACTTGGTCAGGAGATTCCAACTTGAAAAACAAGCTGTGCTTTCAGTGATAGATGGGTAGGGATATGGAAGTGGTCACAAGTCCTGTAGGCCTTCCTCCTGCACCCACTTGACAGACACTCAGGGGTTCACGGAGGATGACTTAGAAGCCTATGCTAAAGTGTAGTCTGTAGTCCAGTAAGGTGAAGATGATGTTCGTTGAGTCCTCAAGGCTAAGGGGAAGGTGAGAGGTGGCAGTATGCAGAGGAGGCTTCCTGAAGGAGGTAAGTGTCCGTAATAGCATGGTGAGGAGAACAGGGTTAGGACTCATGGAACTGTGGATCTGCCAGGACAGACCCTAACACATCGCAGCCAGAAGGATCCCGGAGACCACCTTTTCTGATTCCTGTTTGAACATACAGGGAAAGTAAGACCTAAAGAATGTAACCCATCTGCCCATGTTTATGCTATGGGCTGGGAGAAGGGCAGGCCTAGAACCCAGGTTCCCACCTCTGATCCCCAATGTTGTTTACACGTGAGCAGGGGAGGCAGGTTGTCTGGCCTGGATGTTTAAGAACCCAGGCCTCTCCATCACTGGGCCCATCTGCCCCAGTCTCCTGGCTCCTCTCTAGGCCTGGTTTCTACCCACAGGTGCCCTGGAGATAGGACAGGCCCTTCCTATCCATGCTGGCCGCTACACCTGCACAGCCCGAAACTCTGCTGGTATGGCCCACAAGCATGTGGTCCTCACTGTGCAAGGTAAGAGTTCCTGAGTAAGACACTCTTAGAGCAAGGCAGAGGCAGGGGCAGCTGGGGGACTGGAGATGAAAGCGAGGACCTGGACCTGTCTTAGATCTGACTCCTGGTGCCAGACCCTGCTGCCACCTCCTTGGAGAGGTCTTCAGAGCCCCCTTGTCCCTTTAGAGGCCTGTCTCCACTGCTCAGAGGTTCTGGTTGGGGAAACTGGGTGTTACAGGCACCCCAGGGTTCTCTGCTCGGTTCTTTTGCAGCCTCCCCTGTGGTGAAGCCACTGCCCAGCACAGTTCAGGTGGTGGAGGGGGAGGAGGCAGCGCTGCCTTGTGAAGCCTCAGGCATCCCCCGGCCAAACATCATCTGGCAGAAGGAGGGGCTCAGCATCCCTGCAGGTGAGTCTCCATGGCAGCCAGTAGGGGAAGGGGAGAGAATGGCACAGGCCTGGCATTCCCCCTCCTTTCTGGGACACTCTGTAGGCCTGCTGAAAAGCTTCCAGAAAGCCCTTTCCCAGGTCACAAGCCTGCCCCCATCCTGCTCTGGTTTTGCCCTTTGCTCTCATCCCTTGTCCTTTCACCGCTCCAGAGCCTGGATTCTAGCTGAGCACTCAGAGGTCCAGCTGGGGAGCGGGAGGTCAAGGAGAATGGTCCACTGGACTCCAGACCAGGCTACCTCACTCCCTCACCCTGTGACCGCAGCAAGTCTGTCAGTGCCAAGTCAGAAAGCCCAAGTCGCCCTAGTCTCTAACTCCCAATTTCCCCCCACTGCATCCAGGAGCAAGCACCCAGATCTTCCCCAGCGGACAACTTCGGATTCTCCATGCCAGCAAAGAGGATGCTGGGAACTACATCTGCATTGCCCAGAACAGTGCAGGCAGCGCCATGGGGAAGACTCGGCTGGTGGTACAAGGTGGGCCTGAAGGAGGGACCAAGGTGGCTCCTGAGAGCTTGTTCCTCTGATAGACAGGGATTAGGGCTGAGTGGATCAGAATATGTTCCAGCACCTTCCCAACCCAAGCACTGCTTGTGGCTCTAGAAGGAATGGCCCCAGAGTCTGGCTTCAGACAATAAATTTTCATCCCTGATGCCTTCTCTCTGGCCCCTCCTATGACATCCCTCATTAATTTTGATTCTCCAGTCACAAAAGACATTTCTGTCCCTTTGCTTGCACTAACACAAAATTAAACATGCTGTTTCCTTAGTTAGAACAGCAATCATTGTCTCCAAAGATAAAGGAGACATGATGGACCAATCAGAGCCCAGCCCTAAGTGAACCTTTCTCTGCCCCCAGTCCCACCCATAATCGAGAGTGGCCTCGCAGACCTGTCCACCACTGAAGGCTCCCACGCCTTCTTGCCTTGCACGGCCAGGGGCAGTCCTGAGCCCGACATCACCTGGGAAAAAGATGGCCAACCTGTGTTTGGAACTGAGGGCAAGTTCACCATTCAGCCTTCTGGGGAGCTGCTAGTGAAGAACTCAGAGGTGAGGGCCTGGCCTGCGGAGTACCCTGACCCAACACAACCCACCGTCATGGAGTCAATTCTAACTCATACCAACCCTCGAAGGCAAAGTAGGTCTGCTCTCTATAAAGTTTCCCAGACTACACATCTTTATGGGCACAGACAGCCTTATCTTTCTCCAACAGAGCCACTGGTGGGTCTGAACCACCAGCCTTGTGGTTAGCCATCCAGTGGAATAATTGAAACACCAGCAGGAGTAAACATCAGCTGAGTACCCATTGCCTCTCATGCTCTGCCTTGAGCCCAGTGCAGTCGTTTAATCCCAAGAACCTTGGGAGATGGGTGTTATCGTCCCTAGACACAGATAAAGAAAACAAGGTTCAGAGTGTACTCAGTTTTCTAAAGACACATTGTAGCCAAAAGGCAGAAACAATATTTGAACCTGGGCCTCCATAGCCTGCCCTTTTGGGGAGGGAGGCAGCCCAGGCCCACGGGTCGATGATGTCTGTGGGTCCTCAAATCACACAAGGTTATTCTCAAACCACCCTGATGTTGGATATCCTTCCCGGTCTAGAGGTGGAGCTGAGCCTGGGACATGGGTGAGGCTCCCTAGCCTCCCTCCCTAATCAGACACGCATCAGATTCTGCAATTGCAAAATGACCAGGTATCCAGGAAATGAGTGGCTGCTTAGGTGGAATCCACACTTGGAGACTACAGACATAGCCATCAGGAGTTCAGATAGGACGGTGCTGAGCTCCAAGGCCCTGTTCAAATGTCTCTGTGCCTTGCTGGACTCTATAAAGAAACACCAAAAGTAAATGAACCAATGCAGGGCCTGGTACAGAGTAGGTGCTCCATAAATGGAATCGCTGCATCCATGCTGCCAGGTGTGAGGACTTGGGCAAGTCACTTCACCTCTCTGGGCTGGATGCTCAGGTTCATGGCTCCCTCTGCTCACAGAGTCAGGACGCTGGTACCTACACCTGCACAGCTCAGAATGCTGTGGGCCGTGCCCGCCGCCGTGTGCACCTGACCATCCTGGCACTGCCTGTGTTCACCACCCTGCCCGGGGACCGCAGCCTGCGCCTGGGAGAGAGACTGTGGCTTCGATGTGCAGCCCGCGGCAGTCCCACCCCTCGGATTGGCTGGACCGTCAATGACAGGCTGGTCACAGGTCTGGGAATGATAGAGGCAGATGGGAAGGTGCCTAGGACCCTGGGAGCTCAAGGAGGGATGGGCAGATGGGAAGACCCTACCTAATGGAGACCAATAGGGTGTTGGTTGGTCCTGTGGTTTCTGGGTCTCTAAACATGGCCCTTTGTGGATGGTCAGGACAAACATATGTGTGTGTACCATGCTCCAATCACACATCAGAGCAGATGAGAAGCCACCTACAACGAAGACTCACCCAAGACTTAGGGGCTAGATGGAAAAGCCCACTCTGCGAACCCTTTTCCCTGGTAGGGCACTATCTTCCTACCTGGAAACCTTAGGGTGCATAGTAGGTGCTCAATAAGCATTTGCTGAATTGCTAAATCGCTAAGTTTTTGCCATTGCAAAATGACACTTTCCTGCTTTAGAGTATGAACATCAGGAGCTATTCCCTCTGCAGTTCGAGGCCAGCTGTGGAACCAGTGTAGGAGCAAGCCTTCCCACCTGCAAAGAAACCTTGCTGAGCCCCCAGCTCTTCCTGGGGCAGGGGCCTCACACAAATGACTCAACCTTTCTGAGCACAACTATTTCATCTGTAAAATGGGGCAACAGGAGGTTCTGAGGATGGAATGATTTAACACAGGAGGCACATTTGATACTGAGCCTCACCCAGAGCAAATGCCCAATCAATGTAGCCCTTGTCCCAATTCCTGTTGTAAGGGCAGTACATAATCCATCACAAAAATTCACAAAGCGCATTAAGAGATTGCATTTCCATGCCATATGTTAACAGGTCCCTAAAGACCTGCTCATCAGGTCACTCATCAGGGTCACTGTGTGTATCTGAACATGCAAAAAGCTGGATCTTTTGTCACATCCTTGAATTTGGCCTGTGCCTCCCACAAACATGTCTGACTTGGTTAGGCTTCCACCAAGGGAGAAGGAACACTTGTTTTCCACACCTTTATTCAGCACCTGCTGGGTCCCCAGGCCTGAGTTAAGTATTCAGGGCAAGGGATCCCTGTCCTCCTGGGTTCAGAGTCCCCCTGGGATGTCTCTTTCTCTGCCGCAGAGGGGGTGTCAGAACAGGATGGTGGGAGCACGCTGCAGCGGCTGGCAGTCACTAGAGAGGACAGCGGGATCTACATCTGCTGGGCAGAGAACCGAGTGGGCCGTGTGCAGGCGGTCAGCTTCGTCCACGTGAAGGGTAGGACATGCCTGAGTAGCCTTTCTCTCTCAGTCCTCTGCAGAACCCACCCAGATGACAGGCTTTTAAGGAACTGGCCTCCTGGTCTGTTAATGAGTGACTCATCTGCCTCACTGCACAGTAGAATCCCCTGTTGGAACTTTATAGAATACCGAGGCCCAGGTTTCACCCCAGACTAAACCAGAAGCTCTGAGCTGGAGCCCAGGCATCGGTATTTTTTTTGCTCCCCCAGAGGATTCCAGGTACCAGTAGAACTGGGGATCTGACTAATTGGCCTATAAGACTACCCTCAGCTGGGCAGTGCCAGTGTGGGCAGAAAGATTGGGGGCCAGGTAGCCATGCAGAAAACTGTGTGAAGCTTGCCAGCGTGCGAATCGTCCACTATGTCCTTGCTCCTCTACAGGCAGCACTGTAACTCTCAGTGACACTTCAGGGTGGGTGAAGTGGGGTGGGACTTGATGGAGGAAAATGAACAGCCAGGACACAACTGTAGTGTTTGGTAGATTCAACCTCAGGAAAAATGGAAACTGCAAAGTTTTGAAATTCAAACGAAATGAGGATCAAGGAACGCTGTTGCTGTGTACAATCAAGGTGTCTTAATGATCACATAGTTCTTGTTTTCCAAACTACCTGACAGGGGGCTCTACAGCTGGGGTAATCCACCTATAAGAGCAATGGCACACAGAACACTATGTTCCTGTATCATAGAGTTGATGATAGCGATCCTGTCTCAGGCATCAATAATCGATCATCGCACTGCTCCCTCAAAATTTGCTACTACTCATCCTCAAAATCCTTCTCAACACAGTCTACCTGGCAACCACCACCAGGCTTTTTCATTTGACCCATGTCATAGAAGTTGTTTTTCATCCTTGATGTATTGACTATACACAGCCATGCTGGGCAGTAGGAGACTCTGAAAGCCCCTGTGGGCAGAAGTTGGGTGGGACTGAGTCTTAAGGGAACCTCCTACCTGAGCCCTCATCTCAGGACTAAATTGATGTCTGTGCAGAGGCTCCAGTCTTACAAGGGAAGGCCTTCTCCTACCTGGTGGAACCTGTGGGGACCAGCATCCAGCTGGACTGTATGGTCCATGGAGACCCAGTGCCCAACATCCGTTGGAACAAGGATGACCTTCCACTGCGGGGCAGCCTTCTCCGGCACCAGCTGCAAAATGGCTCACTGACCATCCAAAGGACTGAGGTAAAAAGCAGCCTGATGCTCAGAGATAGGGCCACCAGGGACAACTCTGGGCTCATCCTGACTGTTCAGAAGGGTTCTTCAGGTTGGCATTGCACTCCACAGTTTATAAAGCATGTTCCTGATCATTATGTAGCTTTTCTGTGCTTCAGTAACCCATCCATTTAATGCAGCTACTATTTTTTCTACCTCGTAGGTTAATGATGAGAAATCAATGAGATGAACCATCCCAGATATTTTAAGCAAGACTAGTCTGTGGGTTGTGGCCAATGGGACAAGCTGGGCACGTAATATTGTTGTTGTTTAGTGCCATCGAGTTGGTTCCAACTCATAGCATCCCTGTATAGGGTTTCTGAGGAGCAACTGGTGGATTTGAACCACTGACACTGTGGTTCCACACCAGGACTCCAAGGCAAATAACAGTGCCCCCATTTTCCACCTCAGTATCTTCATCTATAAAATGGGGGCACTATTACTTGCCTGGAGTCCTGGAGTGGCACTGTACAGATGAAGACACTAAAGGACAGAGAGGCTAAGTGATTTGCTCAGAGCCTCACAACCAGAAAGTCCCAGAGGCAGGATACGTCACTATGTATTTTATTCTTTTAAGTGCTCTTTGTGAATGGAGTTGTTTTTTTAGATTTTGTGGATGTTGTTGTTCATTGCTAATATATAGAAGTCCAATCTAGTCTCCTGACTCCTACTCCATAATGTCTCCAAGCATTGAGCACTGAGGCTGTCCCTTCATCACTCCTCTTCTAGGTCCCAAGTTCAGTGATCCTGCAGAAACCCACAATTTAGTCCTGACTCAAGCTCATCTTAGGGGCCCTTGATCTCACCAGCCTAGAAACCTGCCCCTAAATAGTACTAACAAAAGACCTAGTAATAATAGCAACTCTAGTGGTCATAGTTACAGCTCGTGGCACTGTAGGATGAGCGCTGGACTGCTAAGCACAGGGTCAGCAGTTCAACTCCACCAGCCACTCTATAGAAGAAAGATGAGGCTTTCTGCTCCCATGACAATTTACAGCTTAGGATCACTGAGATGGAACTGACTTAACAGTACTAACAACAACAACAAATAATAATAATAGCAGCAGCAATAATAGTTAGCAGTACCTGAGTATTTACCGTGGACCAGGCACTATATTTCACACTTTGCAAACGTCATTTAATGCTCACATTTCTAGCAGTTATTAACACCATTTTAAAGCTGGGGAAACTGAGACTCCAAAGGTATAGCAATGTCTTTGGAAATAGGCTGAGTATGGTAAATGGTGGAGTTGGGCTCTGACCCCAAATCTACACTCGTCATTTTGCCATGTTACCCTCTGATGGTCCCTTGGATGGGGCTCCAGGCTATCCTCATTTAGGTATGAACAGTGGCCCCAGGCTACACCCCCCAGTTCCTCACACAGCTGTGCTGTTACCCAGGAGTGAACCTTGAACTAATGTTTCAGATTCCAGAACATCCATGTTCATGAATATCCTGAGAACAAAATTTCTCAGGATGTGAACGTCCCTGTTTGAGCCTCAATGTCTTCATCTGTAAAATAGAGGGACTATCACCTAAGTCCTGGTGTAGTTAAGCCCTGGACTGCTAAACACAAGGCTGACAGTTCAAACCCACCAGTCACTCCTCGGAAATCCTATATAGGGTCATGGAACAATGCTTAACAACGACAACAATCACCTCAGTAAAGGAGCCCTAGTGGCATAGTGGTCAAAGAGCTCACCTGACAACCAAAAGATTGGTGGTTCAAATCCACCAGTTGCTTTAAGGGAGAAAGATGTGGGAATCTGTTTCTATAAAGATTTACAGCCTTGGGAGCCTTGTGGGAGGGTCCTGCTCTACTCTACAGGGTTGCTATGAGTCAGAATGGAACCCACAAGAACGCGTTTATCACCTAAGTTAGGGAAATGCTGCAAACTACCCTCCGTTCTGCAAGACTCACAATGCCCACCAATGCAATAAAAGCCCCGAGAATCTTACAGTTCAGAAGTGTGTTGTTATGTAACTCAGTTTCCCCAAAACTTACTTATTCATGGAACCTATTTTTCAAGGAAGGTCTAATAACATTCCACAGAACAATAATATTTCAACGTATACTTTGTAGGAGAAGTGAAACTCTATTTCAACATGTGATTCACCTGGGATAACAAATCTATACCTTCCATCACCACCCACCCTCCCACTTCCACCCCAGTTCCAGGGTGGGAAGCAGGACTGGATTCTCTTTGAATCTTGATTGACAGAAGCCTTCTGGTACTTTGACGGGGGAAGAATCTGGGGCCTCATGCAGGTTTATGATTTAAGCTCCCTTCTGATTAGATGGGCCTTGGTCAGCACCCCTTTCAATGCCCAGCAGCCCCAAGATGCTCCCCTCTCCTAATCCTCCTGACACTTCAGTCCCCCTCCCCTCCTGTGCCCATCTGCAGATGGACGATGCTGGAAGGTACCAGTGCCTGGCGGAGAACGAGATAGGTGCAGTGGAGAAAGTGGTGATCCTCGTACTTCAGAGTGAGTCTCAGCCTCCCCTTGCCCTGGTCTCAGGCTCTTCTCAGCAGGACAGGGACAGGACAGTATGAAGTGGACACTCGGAGGTTGTGGCTAGTGTGGCCATGGCTGTGTGATAAGAACAGAGAAGGGAGAGAGAGAACCCAAGGACTTAAAGCCTGTTATGAATATTTATTCAGCATATACAATTTAAATCTTATGAAATGGTTTTCAGCACTCAGGGTTGTAGTAAATCAATACCCAGATCTGGAGGGAATTGGGCATACAAAACTGAAAAGAATCCCCCAGACCACAGCAACAGCCCTTACATTTGCCAAGCAGTTTATAGTTTGCAGCACACTATTTGAGTCTCAGAATAACCCTGTGAAGCAATCTAGATAGGCATTTTTAAATTAAACTTTCTACTGAAGATTAAAACACATATGCATACAAGTGGACATTAACTATCATCACGTGCAACTCAAATGAAATTTCATAAAATGGGCCCATCCGTGTAACCCATAACCAGATCAGAAAATAGGTTAGTATTTATTCCCAGAGGACTCTATGTGTGGAAATATGTTTTCATTTGTCTTGGAAGGATTCCTAGGAGCTGGGCCAAATGACAAGTGTATGTTTAGCTTTTTAAGAAACTGCAAAGTGGCTGAACTGTTTTACTTTTCCATCAGCAATGTATAAGGACTTCAATTTCTCCACATCCTCACCGACACTTGGTATTGTCAGTTAATGTTAACATTCTAGTGGTGAGAAAGTTCTGTTGCTAACTGAAATGTTGGCACTTTGAGCCCACTCAGTGGCACAAAAGAAAGCTCTGGTGATCTGCCCTTAAAGGTCACAGCCTGGAAAACACTGAGGGTCAGTTCTATTCCTTCACCTGAGTTTACTCTGAGTCAGAATCAACTCTACACACCTAACAACAGTAAATATGAAATGGTTTTAGTTTGCATTTGTGTTATGACTAATTATTTTGAGCAGCTATCTCTCAAGTGTTTACTAGTTACTCATGTATCTTTTTTTGGTCAAGTGTCTGTTCAAATCTTTGGCCTATTTGTTAATTGGGTTGATTGTATCATTAATGAATTATAAGCATTCTTTACATGTCATTGAGATGCAAGTCCTTTATCAGATATATGATTTGAAAGTATTTTCTCCCATTCTATGCCTTGCTTTTCTTTGTTGTTGTTGTTGTGAATTGAGTGATCGTTTACATGGGAGAACATCGGTTTTACACTCATTTCATTGTAATGATTCCAATTTCCTCTGTGCATCATCATTCAACGGTATATGCTTCTATTCCCTCTGTTTTTTTCTTTTTTGTTGTTGTTTCATTTGGGGAGGAGGGAGTTGTACACAAAAACACTCAGGAATATATGACAATTTAAATAACAAAAAGGCACATTCTGTAAGCCTGCCTCCTGGCCGCCAACACTCAGTCTTTCTCTTTCCATGAGTCTATGGACTCTTTCCATGAGTCCTCAGCTGCCTATGGCTGGTCTTTTTATTTTCTTAATGGTGCCATTGGAAAGCAAAATTATTAAAATTTCATTAAGTTCCATTTTATTTTTTATGGATCCTGTTTGACATATTTTTTTTACATCTTTGTATAACCCAAAGTCACGTTTTTGTCTAGTTTTATAGTTTTGGTTCTTACATTTAGGTTAATGATCCTCTTCAAGGTAGTTTTTACAGGAGGTATAAGAACCTAAATTTCTTGTTTTTTTCTTTTTATATTGAAATCCTATATTTCTAGTTGTTAAATGCTGTTGAGTCGGTTCTTACTCACAGTGACCCTATATAGGGTTTCCACAGAGTAGTTGATAAGTTTGAACCACCAACCTTGCAATTCAAACCGACATTGCAGTCCAGTGCTTATCCTACAGTGCCACACTAGGACTCCTTTTATTCATTTATTTAGGTCTTCATAATTTCTCTCATCAATAGTTTGTAGTTTTCACTGTGTAGATCATATACTTCTTTTGTTAAATTTATTACTAAGTATTTTATTCTTTTTAATGCTATTGTGAATGAAATTGTTTTCTCAGATTTTTGATTGTTCATTGCTAATATGTACAAATGCAATGGATTTTTATGTTGTGATTTTTGTACCCTGCAACCTTGCTAAAATTGTTTTTAGTTCTAGGTTTTTTCTTTTATTTTTGTCCGATTCCTTAGGATTTCCTGCACATAAGATTATGTTCATGATCTTCCTTGCCAATCTGTATACCTTTAATTTCTTTCCATGTCCACATTGGCTCAAGATAAGAGCATATGTAGGTTGAGGAAATTCTATTTCTATGCTAGTCTGTTCAGAGTTTTTGTCAAGGATGGCAATAGATTTCTGGCTCCAGACAAGTCTGTCAATTCTGCCTTATGATTGGAGTGTTTAACCTGTCCACAGTTAATGTAGTTATTTATCTGGTTGGATTTATGTCTGACATTTGCTGTTTGCTTTCTGTATGTCGCATATGATTTGTATTTCTCTCTTCCTCCTTTACTGTCTTCTTTGGTGCTAAACAAATATGAAATATTGTGAAGTAAAATAAAAAGTGGGTTTGTGGTCATATTCTCATAAGGAAAATAAAAGCAAATGCAAAGTTAGAAGAAAATACTAAGGAATGTTAACAGGGGGATAGCATCTTTCTGTCTCTGTAGTTTCTAATCTGTCTAATTGAATATGATCACTTAAAAATTCCAAAATGTTTCTAAAAAGCTGCCCCCGGATTCTCACAGGTGCCCCAGTGTTCCAGGTAGAGCCCCAGGACATGGCAGTGAGATCTGGGGAGGACGTGGCCCTGCAGTGCCAGGCCACTGGAGAGCCAGTGCCCACAGTGGAGTGGTTGAGGGCAGGCCAGCCCTTGCGGGCCAGCCGGCGGCTCCGGACCCTGCCAGATGGGAGCCTGTGGCTGGAGCGCGTGGAGGCCAAGGATGCTGGTGTATATGAGTGCGTCGCTCACAATCTCTTGGGGTCTGCCACAGCCCAGGCGTTCTTGGCTGTAAGAGGTATGGGGTCTTCAAGCCCAGAACTTTCATGGACAGAGTGAGGGGTTGCTCCATGATATAAATTTGTGTGCTCTTTTGGAGGACCTAGCCTCTTTCCCTGCTAGTTCCCCAATTCTTCTCTGCACTGAGAACCATCTGGGAGGACCTTAGGGATCAACTTATCTACCCTGTTCACCTGCAGCTGTGGAAGCTGAGTCTTAGGGATTCTAAGTATTTGGTGGTCATCTTGGGCAGGAAACCCTGTCTAGTCCAACTTACTTGGCAAAGACACGCCCTCTCTTTGGACACTCAGTAGCTCCAGGAAGTTGACAGAATAAAACAAGGGTATCTATCTGTTAGTGCCCACCTCAGGAATTACTGTGAAAATATATGAGTTAATGCTTGCTTTGAGCTTCACACACTGCCTGACCACAGAAGGTGGCCAATGAAAAATACTGCTTATGGGGTTCCTAACCCCTACCATCTCAGGACTCCCTACTCACTTGGGCCAAACCAAACTTTAAAACTGAGAAAAGGACTATACTGAGAAACTACTGTAAAATTATTCAGGACTACATAAAGAAAATTCACAGACTGTTATTTCAGAATGATCTGTGTCGCTTTAGTAAATACTTCATAGCTGTCACGTCATGTCTTCATCCCGTCCATGGCAGCAGGTTTCACTGATCTATCTCTGCAATGTCAGAATCCTCCTCCAGGAGCCCTTCTCCAGGCAGTATTTCTTGACTAATTGGGATTGGGACTAAACGTGAAACCAGCTTGATACTCTGTTACTTGAAACCGACTGTCAAGCAACTATGGGACCCTCTCTGGACCCTGGTCTGCTCAGCTTTGCCAGCAGGGGTCAATAGATGTGACTCTGAAATACGGTGATTTATAAAGTTCAATGAAAATGTCAGTGACATCAGTCTCAGCTGTTATGTTTTGAGCAGCTTCAGGCCTGAGCAGACTCTCCCTTTATTTCAGAGCTTAGGCCCAATTCTTACCTTCTCCTGTTGAGAAGCCCCCAACTCAAACCACAGAGCTCTGCACATCATAGTGTCTTTATTAACATAAACAACATTTCCCTCCTCATATATACCAATTGTAGACAGATCAAACAATAAAGAAATCTGTGAAGAAAAATCTAGTGATCAATTATCTCCCATAATCAATGACCAGAAATAGCTTGGGCTATTTTTGAGCATATTCTTCCATAGTTTTTTCTGTAAGTACAGACGATACAGGGACTCTTGGTGTGGCACTGTAGAATCAGCACTGGACTGTGAACCACAAGGTCGGCAGTTCAAACCCATTAGCTGCTCCTTGGAAACTCTATAGAGAGTTGGTATGAGTCAGAACCTACTCAACGGCACTCAACAACAACAACATGAAAAATCCATTTTCTTTTCTTCTTGCAAACAAGATCAAATTAACAGATTGTCTTTATGACCTGCCATGTTTACTTACTCTACCATGGACAGCATTTCATGACATTAAACCTAAGTCCACATCCTCTTTAATGGCTTCATATCATTCCATGGTATGAAAACATTTTTTAAACTTAATTGTTGTTAGCTTTGATAAATAAGCAACATAGTTTATTTTTCAGTTGTTTTTGATTCTGTTAAGTGCCATCAAGTCAGCTATAACTCACAGCAACCCTATATAGGGTTGGTTTCCAAGGTGGTTTTAAACTACTAACCTTGCAGTTAGCAGTCCGGTGCTTATCGTACAGTACCACATCAGGACTCTGTTTTTTTTTCAGCTAGCCCTCCACAAACCACAATGTGGTCACATCTTTGTGTACTGGTCTGAACATTTCTACAGGATGAATTCCTTTAAAAGGCTTTGCTAGATTAAAAACAAACAAACAAAAGGTTCTAAGTTTTAGAGGTCCTGGTGTGGCGCTGTGGGTTAATGCGCCAGACTGCAAAGCCATTTGAACTGCAAGGTCCGCGATTCAAGCTCACCAGTCACTCCTCGGAAACCCTATGCAGGGTCGCTATGGGTCAGAACTGACTCGACGTCACTTAACAACAACAACTATGTGTGGCACGGTAGGATAAGCACTGAGCTGCTAAACAAAAGATCGATAGTTCAAATCCATCAGCCTCTCCTTGGAAACCCTACCATATACAGGACCGCTATGAGTCAGAACCAACTCAAAGGCACTTAACAACAACAACAACAGCTATAAAGTATAGGATAAACACTGTACTGCTAACCATAAGGTCAGTCATTCAAACCCACCAGCCACTCACTATGAGTTGGAACCCACTCTATGGCACACAACAACTATAAACTGAGGATCCCTGGTGGCACTGTAGGATAAGCACCAGACTGCTAGCTTCAAGGTCAGCAGTTCAAACCCACCAGTCATTCCACAAGAAAAAGATGAGACTTTCTGTTCCTATAAAGATTTACAGCCTGGGACATCTGATACAGGGTCACTGTGAGTTGGAATTGACTCGAAGACAGTGGGTTTGGTTTTGATTTTTTAACTATAAACTAAAGAGGCCTGGTGGTGCTATGGGTTAGGTATTGGGCTGCTAACTGTAAGACTGGAAGTTCAAACCCACCAGCCACACTGTAGGAGAAAGATGAAGCTGTCTGTTCCCAAAAAGATTTATAGTCTAGGAAACCCTACTTCATTATGAGTTGGAATCAATTTGCTAGCAGTGGGTTTGGTTTGGGATTTAATTATAAACTAAGAAAGCCTGTGTGGCACAAGCGATTTGCAATTGGCTGCTAACCTAAAGGTTGGCAGTTCGAACCTACCCAGGAGCTCTGTGGAAAAGTCCTGGTAAATTGTTTCTATAAAGATTACAGCCCAGAAAACTCTAGGGAGCAGTTCAACACATGGGTTACCATGAATCAGATAAACTTGACATCACTGGGTTTGGGTTTGGGGATCTTCTTTTGTTTTGTTAACTATGAACTATATCCCTGGATGATGTGAATGGTTAACATTCTCAGCTGCTAACCACAAGGCTGGAGGTTTGATTCTACCCAGAGATAACTTAGAAGAAAGTCCTGTTAATCTACTTCTTAAAAAGCAGCCATAGAAATCCCTGTGGAGCACAGTTCTACTCTGACACACATAGGGTCACGATGAGTTGGAATCAGTTAGATGGTGACTAGTTTTTTTATTAACTACAAACTTGACTTATCTCCCTGCCTGTTGCACCCCTCCCTCCCCATAAGCCTGACTCTGAGGGAGACAAGAGGCTGCTGAGTCACTATGAAGAAAGTCCACAGCCATGTGCCGTTCCTAGATTCCAATTCCCTGGTCCCTTGCAGCGTTACCTTGGTTATACTGCTGACTTCTTCTCTGCAGTTCCCCCATATCCCTCCTCATTCTCTTAGAAATCCAAGGATGGGTTATGGAGCAAGAATCCTGATCATAAAGGGGAAATGCAAAACAAAATTACAAATTCTCATGAACCTCAAATTTTCTGGAGCCATGAGACTGGATGAACCCCTGAAACTATTGCCCTGAGATCATCTTTAACCTTAAACCAAAAACATCCTAGAAGTCTTCATAAAACCAAATAATAGTTAGCTTTACTAGCAAAGAGTGGTCTGCCTTGAGCATTAAGGTCTTTTAAGATCTATCTGGGATCAAATCAACAGCAGCAGCAACTCCGAAGATTAGATAGGAACCTTAGGGACAGTGACTTTATGTTAATGGCAGAGGTACAACTCAGAAGAGCAAGAATGGTTGCACACCTTGAAGAATGTAATCAATATCACTGAATTGTACATGTAGAAACTACTGAATTGGTGTATGTATCGTTATGTATATTCTCAACAAAACAACAAAATAATGTTTTTAAAAACAAAATCATACAAAGTTCAGGGGTAGGTTCACAGCCCTTCTCCTCCTGTCCTTTCCATAAACCCCTCAACCCCACCCTGGAGCAGTGGATATTGAGAACAGACATTCCAGATGTACATCAAATCTCATCAAGCCCCAGCTTTGGGTTGCAGGAAACGCACTGCTTCCTGGAATTCAAAATTAACCAGCCCCTCGATTTACCCATTTGGGATCCTGGCAGTTGGATGTTTTATGTTATTTTTTCGACAGATCATGGGCAATTTGTTGGTAATTTCCCCTGAGAGCTGGTGAGCGGAGAGGCAGGCTGTCTTCTGTTTCTTGCCCCCTAGAATGCCATCTGCCCAAATGAGACAGGTCCATTAGGCAGAGGAAGTGCTGTTCTGTGCCCACACCATCCATCTGATTAGTGTGGAAGAGTGCCTGACGACCGCAGCCCACCCAACCAGATCAGCTGTGGGGTAGCTGAAGCCAGGCCTCTGATGGAATGGAGGAAGTTCAAGCAGTGGTACTCAGTCCCTTGCCCTGCCTTTCACCCTTTGCTCCTCCAGCAGCAAGGCAGTTCCTACCATCACGGTCTCCTGGCATTCTAAAACCACTCAACAGGTCTTTGGTTTGCTTGTGGTCTCATCTTCCCATCTTACAAATAAGCAAACTCAGATGTGGTTTGGGGGCCTGACTTACCCAGGTTTCAAGGAAGGTGATGGCAAAGCCAGCAATAGAAGCTGGTGCCCTCACCCCCAGTACCCACTTCCTCCCACAGTCTCTCAGCTCTCAGAGCTTTGAGTGCTTCACCTGTTAACCACGTGCCCTTGAGCCTTAGTTTCCTCCTTTGTGAAATGAGAATAACAGTAATACCCGTTTATACTGAGAGTTGTTGGTGTTAAGTGTCGTTGAATTGATTCCAACTCATAGAGACCCTCTATAGGGTTGCCGAGGACCTGTTGGTGAGTTTGAACTACCAACCTGGTGGTTCAAACGAACCGTGAGTTCCAGTGCATTATCCTGAGGTGGTTAATAAGTGCTATTGTTACTCTCTTCTTGCCTCACAGTGGAGCCCAAGGGGAGCCGGGGCAGCATGAGCGGAGTGATCAATGGCCAGGAATTTGGTGAGGCCATTCTCAACACCAGTGTGCAACAGGAGACACGTTCTGGGACCACCACTATCCGGAGCAGCATCAGCCACATCCCTGCAAATGTGGGTAAGCAGAGGCTAGAGTGTCACCTGAATATTGTCCACTGTCCCAGCCCTCAGGGACCATCTGATACATGCTAGGCCCAGGAAGCAAAGACTGTGTTCTGAGCTTGCTGTGGCCTAACCTAGAGGGAAGCCAACTGCCCAGCATTGCAGCCTTTACTAGAAGCTGATTCCAAGCCGAGGTGGATTTAGGTTTAGACAACTTCTTTTCCACCCTCCTGCCCCCTCCACAGAACAAAAGAACTGGAGTTAAAATCTGACCAAGAGGGAGTGTAAACTAGTTAGGGCTATGTGGATGCAGAAGGTAAGATCACAGTTTTTGAAGCCGCTGAGTGCTGTAGGCGTTTTTTTCCCCCCCGCTGTTAGAGTCAGGGGCTTGTGAGCTGGAGGGGGCAGAAAAGGGTAAGGTGTAGAAACCAAAATGAGCTGGAATACCCATGTTATTGTTAAGTGCTGTCGAGTCAGTTCTGACTCGCGTCAACCTTGTACAGGGTTTCTGAGGAGTGGCTGGTGAACTTGAACCACCAACCTTGCTGTTCAGACGATTTTGCAGTCCAGAGTATTAACCCAAGACCCAGAGAACCAAGAATAGTCCACTCTCAAACTCCTGTAAAATTGTGTCCTAAGCATATAGGCAAAGAAGGTGCTGCTGGAGAGATGTTCACCATCTCAGCATCTTCTTGGGTTTGACTCAAACCCAGATTTCATGGACCTTGAAGTCTTGCCCTTCCCAAGGGATCCTGTGCTAGCTCATGAGAGCTGAGGAGAGAGCAGTGCTGACAGGGTAGCTCAAGGAAGCTGGCCTTGACTACAGACCTGTCCTGGATCAGGGACTTTGACTGGGATGTCACTCAGAGCTGGCTGTCAGCAGAGAGTGATGAATAAAGCAAGATGCTTCCCAGACACAGCTGGTTAGTCCAGCAGTAGCCGTGGAGGAGCATCCGGCCCCAAACCAGAAGGGCCGGGCTCTGTTTAGTGGAAAAAAGTAACAGACAGGCTAAGCTGATTCTGCTCCATAAACTTCAGTCTCCTAGCACTTCTCTTCTGAGTCAACAGTTGCAACAAAGCTGAGAAGCTTGACTGACCCTGCCCATGACCCTGAGTAAGCAGGACCTTTCCCCTTGCCCAGTGCCTGGTCCAGTGTGGCCTTGAGAGCTGGACCAGACATCATGTGAATGAATGAATGCCTGAGAAGCCATGTCCAGAGCAATTTCTCATCTTTTTTTGGAAGTCAGTGGTTTGGAGTGATCCTAGCCTCTTTGGTCAGGTTGAACCACAACCATATGAGCTTCTAGGAAACCCTATACACAGAGTGCACTATGAGTCAGAACCAACTCGAAGGCACTTAACAACAACAACAAGACATCTCTTTCAGAAGGTATCTACAACTTAGGAAACTTGGTTGAACTTCAATTCAGCTCTGCAAATGTATATTGAGGGTCCATGGTGGCTCCAGCTCTGTGGTAACCCCATAGATCCTTAATCAGTATTTGCTGAATTGAATTGAATGTTAACAATTTACATGCATTTCCTTTTTTACTATTATTAATCTTCACATCAATGCCATAGCATTTGCCTTTGCCATTTTTCAGATTCCAGGTTAAATAACTGGCCCAGGTAGACATGGGGTTGAATGCGGGGAGGGAGGAAAATGGTTAATGTTCTCCTGGGTGTAGCGAGGAGCAAGAGAATGGCTATCCTCACAATCCACCCTGGCATCCTGCCCTGCCTGCCCAGGACCACTAATGCGCATACTCATCGTTGCCATTGCCCCCATCTACTGGACCCTGACTGCAGAGAATGGAGAGGCCCTGAACGGGCACTCCCTGACAGGTGGCAACTTCCAGCAGGAGTCGCACGTGGAGTTTGCTACAGGTGGGTAGGGTCTCCCTCAAAGTGGGCCAAGTGGGGCTGAGGCTCAATGAGCCCAGGGACTCTCCCCCACAGTGACACTGGGCTGGGTGGGGATTGCAGGGGAGCAGCTCACAATGACCCAGGTGGCTCAGGGCGTGGGTCCCGATGGCCTCCTCCTCCTCAACATGATGGTCAATGGCATCATCCCCGAGAGCCTGGCTGACGCAGACCTCCAAGTGCAGGTGGGAGTTGAAACTGTTTTGTACTAGCCCTGGGAGTATGTAGATAGGGTGGGTGAGAGAGATGCTCCAACTATCCCCTTAGCAGCTGGACCCACTTTCTTTCCTGACACTCCCACAGAGTCTGGCCATGGCCTGGCCTTGGGCTTGGGGAAGGACTAATAGCTTGGAGTTGGAGCCCAGAGGGAGGATGCTGTGAGCCAGGACACTTGTAGATGGAGTGCCCTTCTCGTTCTGTAAACAAGAACACTGAAGGGAACTGACTCAAGATCAAAGAGCTGGTTGATGGAAAAACTGAAAGACTCACCCAAGTCACCTTGTCTAGACTCCCCTAGCCTCTTGAGTGGAGGCCAAGGGTCCCAGGTCTCTTGGGAGTTGGTTTCCCAAGCATTCTCCCTTGCTCTGTCCTGATCCAGGACTTCCAGGAGCGGTATGTGCAGACGGGGCCTGGGCAGCTGTTTGTGGGCTCTACACAGCACTTCCTGCAGGATGGCCAGCCTACATTCCTTCACTGCAACCACAGCATCCAGTATGACACTGCCCAGGCACCCCGACCCCAGCTGGTCCAGCACCTGCGGGCCTCCACTGTGAGCTCAGCCTTTGACCCTGAGGCTGAGGCCCTGCGCTTCCAGCTGACCACAGCCTTGCAAGTTGGTGAGGGCCCATCCTGTCTCTTCCCCCTATTCACCTAGTTAAAAGCCTGCCAGGAACCCAAGTGTGCCTGACTGGAAGTCAAGGTGACAACACACACACACACACACACACCCTGCATCAGCTGACCAGAGACCACACATGCTCAGGAACTGTCAGATCTGTCCATCTAGCCACACCCATTAGGAAATAGTCTTCATTCAGGCCATTCCTGTTCAAAACCCTCCAGGGAGTTGTTCCTAGGCCCCAGGGTATCGGTCCAACCACCCATTCCCACTCTCAAACTCCAACCCCACTGGTGTTCAAAACTCAAACCGCTCCTCACCCTCTTCTACCAGCGACCCACTCAGGGGGCCAGGAACCACTGCTTGAACTACATGAGACCCACACAAACATTTTCTGTTTTCTCTACTTATAGATACTAAAGGTAGAGACAGTGGTAAGAGCACAAGCTTTTGAGCTCAGACAGACATTGGTTCAAACCCCTGCTTCACCACTTCCTGATTGTGTGACCCTGGTGTCATCTTGGCCCTCTCTGAGCCTCAGTGTTCTCATCTGCACAATGGATATGCCATCGCCTGCCTGGCAGGGTAGAAGGAGTACAGGTTATGTCTCTAAAGCTCTAGTCTGGCACCAGTGGATGCTTTAGAAATGGTGGTTGTCCATGCATTTATGCAGGTAGTCTGGTCCTCTTCTTAACTGCAGAACACATCTTCCCTGTCCCCTGCCTTAGTTCTAGTGTCCTCGGCAGATGTCATCATTCACCCATTCTTCAGGCCTTCCCTGCCTAGCCAGGAGGTTCAGGTCCTCCTCTGAATTCTCACGAGCAGTTTTGCATGTGTGGACCTCCCGCTCTGTGCTTTTCTCTAATGATTTCTCTGGTGTCTGCCTGATTCGTCTACCCAGCCCCACCATGAGCTCCTCAAGGGCACCTAGGCACGACTCAGCACATCCCCAGCCAACCCTTTCCACAGGCCCGGGCAGATATGGGCTCGCTGCCTCACTGGGCACCCAGGAGGGTGCAGAATGCTGCTGGCCCACACTGTCCATAGCAGGCTCAGAGGACACTGGCCTGACTAAGCAAGCAGGAGGAGCTATGAGCATGGGCTGTGGCCAGGGCAGCCTTTGGGGAGAGTGCCCTTGTGGACCCTAGTGCCCTCCCCCTTTGCCTTGCAGAGGAAAATGAAGTTGGTTGCCCAGAGGGCTTTGAACTTGATGCCCAGGGAGCATTTTGTGTAGGTGAGTGCCCTTCCTCCCATGCTGCCAAGGATATGTAAGGCCTCTCACCCCCAGCTGGACACTCTGCCCTGCTGGCTGCCAGGGAGCCCTGTGAGCATAGACCACCAGACCTCTCCCCACCCAGACAAGGACGAGTGCTCCGGTGGCCCCAGCCCCTGCTCCCACTCCTGTCACAATGCACCTGGCCGCTTTTCCTGTTCCTGCCCAGCCGGCTTCACCTTAGCCTGGGATAACAGGGACTGCAGAGGTGAGTGGATCTCCAGCAGAGAGAGTTTTCTCAACCTGGCCCAGCAAAGAAGTGTGTGCAGGAGTCCCCACAGCCAGGGCCTGACCTGGGGGCATGAACCTCAGGTGATGGCCTATTGTAGAGGTCACTAGATGCCAGTCCGTGGGACTTCCTCCCTGCTATGAAGCTGCTGAAAGAGCCCTGGTACCGTAGTGGATTATGAGCTGGACTGCTAACTGCAAGGTCAGCAGTTCCCATCCTCCAGTTGCTTTGCAAGAGACAGATGAGCCTTTCTGCTCCTGTCAAGATTTACAGCCTCAGAAACTCTGTCTAGGGTCACTATGAGTTGGAACTGACTCGGTGGCATACACCCACCACCACCACCACGAAGCTGCTGCTAATACAGGTGTAGACTTTTGGGGAGAGGGTTTCCTGAGCACACCCATGTGGTCACCATGTGTTCATGGCATTTATACCCGCTGATGTAGCCTCAGAAGCATTCTCAACACCCAGCGGTCATTTCCAATCAACTGGTATCGGCAGGTGAGCTGACACCCATTTGCTCAGCTGGCTCTGCTTGGCCCCTCAGCAAAGGTGCCAGGTGGCAATTCTGATCGTGAGAGGTGTGTCCTGATGCTGACACCCAGTCTACATCTCACCATTCTGACCTGCAGGGTCTGACACTGCCCTCTGGAGCCCAGTCTTCAGACTGGGCACCCATAAGGGGGATTATCTGCAACCTCATGTTAGAAACTACAGGTTGAGGCCCATGGGTCCCTTGAGCGGGGCTCTGTGTTTCAGGTAGGATGGAAGGAGCTAGAGGGCTAGGGACCACATAGAGGAATGAAGCATATGTGGACAGGCTGGGCCAGTGGGGGCAACAAGGAGGGTACATATGGGAGACACCACTTCACACAGCAATCTGTTCCTCTCCCACCCCCAGATGTGGATGAATGTGCCTGGGATGCCCACCTCTGCCCAGAGGGGCAACGCTGTGTGAACCTGCTCGGGTCCTACCACTGTCTCCCTTCCTGTGGGCCTGGCTTCCGGGTGGCTGCTGATGGAGCTGGCTGTGAAGGTGATGGGGTGCAGCTACGGGCCCATCTGTACTCCTAGGAACCCAGAAGTTGCCAGGATTTAGCTGAAGGGACACTGTGTGTCACTGGGAAATCCATGCCTCTTTTGGCAGAAGTTGCACAGGGAGGCTGGGTAGGAAGAGACTGAGCTAGGGCTCAGGAGTCTAGGCTGATTCTAGCCCAACGTGACTGCTGGCAACTTAAGGACCCTTTCACAAGTGTCTTATCTTCTGGGCCTCAGGTTTCTCATCTGTTCAGTGACAGGAGACCAGATCAAGGATGGCAACCATATGATGCATCTACTGCCACATCCCCGATTCCCCTCATGGATTCGGATCCATTTTCTGGCTGCCTAGACACAGATTCTGAGTCCTTCTCAATACAGTTTCCCCAGCAGCTACTACTGATCAATTATCATTGACACTAAGCTGAAACCTAGGCACCACCCTTGAGTGGAGAGAGCTCTAGGGTCCTCTCTCCACTCTAGCTTTCTATGATTTCATGATTCGGAGTCCCCCAAACTCCTCCAAGAGAGTGGAGTGGGAAAGCATAGTAGGTGAACTTGAACTCAGAAGATATACTCATTCAACCTCAGGGGGCCTCAGGGTCTTTGAATTGATTTTACTCTTTATGGGGCTCTTCTGCCTGTCCATTTTCTTTCTACCCTCCTTCCCTACTTTCCTTCCTTCTCAACATTTTTTTTTTTTTTTAGTTCTTCCTAAGTACCAGGATCCTAAACCCTTTACTTGCATGATCCAATTCTCTTCTCACCAGAACCCCATGAATTGGTCCCATCCTTACACTCCTTACAGACAAGGAAACTGAGGCACAGAGAAGTCATTTGTCCAAGGACTGAAAATGGCAGAGACTGGCCCAGCTTGAACCTGGGACTCTGCCGGCAAAACCTGAACCCACTTTAACTACCAAACTTGGGGTCACTGGGAGAGGGGTTGTAAGGGTTGGCTTTCCAGCATCAGTGAGAGGGGTACAGATATGTGTGTGGGGGGTCCATCCCTTGAAGGAGGATCTCTGAGCTCAGCCCCCACTCTGACCCTGACCAGATGTGGATGAGTGTCTGGAACAATTGGACGAGTGCCGCTACAACCAGATCTGTGAGAACACCCACGGCGGGCATCGCTGCAGCTGCCCCAAGGGGTACCGGAGCCAGGGCCTACGTCTGCCCTGCCTAGGTATGGGGACACCCAGCCCCTCACTGGGGTCCAGGTCAGCACTTTGGGCTCTCAGGAGTCAATGTTTATGACAAAGTTGCAATTGAGTCCTGCAAATGATGGCACCCACACCCTGGAACCAAGCTGCCCCTGCTTTATACCTCCAATATCCCACTTCTGTCTGTGGGGTGCTGGGAGGAGGGGAGTACATGGACCACAGAGAGGTTTGAGGAGGTAGAATCCATCTACTTAGGATGCTGAAGGGATGTGGAGTGGAGGAGAGTTGGAGGTGGGTTAATGCTCAGAGCTGGGAGAGATTTGGGCCTTGGAGCCATAGAGATTAGAGTTGGAGAAGAAGTTGGTGTGGTCCAGGAGATGAAGGCTTGGAGAAAGGCCTGGTGCAGCAGCTGAGGAAGCTGGGTTCTGGGAAAAGGTGAACGAGAAGCAACTAGAGCAGATCATGAGATGAACCCTGGCCCACCCTCAACACCCCTTCCTGGTCCCGACCCCTTTCCAGATATCAATGAGTGCCTGCAACTGCCCAGGGCCTGCGCCTTCCAGTGCCACAACCTCCAGGGCAGCTATCGCTGCCTGTGCCCACCAGGGCAGACCCTCCTCCGAGATGGCAAGACCTGCATTTCACGGGAACGGGGTGGACAGAATGTGACCACTGTCAGCCACCGGGGCCCGTTTGTACCCTGGCTGCGGTCCCGAGCCCCCATTCACAGTGGTTCCTACCAAACCTGGGTCTCCCTCCGGCCAGGTCCTATAACCCTGAGTAGCATGGGTCGGGCCTGGTGTCCTCCTGGCTTCATCAGGCAGAATGGTGTTTGCACAGGTAAGGCTGGGCCCAATCATCTGGGACTTCTAGGCTGGGTATGTGGGCATAAGCCACAATGTTCAGAAACCAAGTACTCACAGACAGACTGACCAGGTCATATTTGTCCCAGGGGGTGTCAGTAGATCTCTGATGAATAAAGGTGCTTCATAGCCAAGGAGTTTGGGAAAGGTGGGGCCAGACAAAGTTGAGACTGCTTCCTTGCTCCAGGGCATCTCAGAGCCCTTGCAGTGCAACTGGCCCAGTGGCCTCCAAGAGGGGAATGGGATGTTTTCCAAGTCATTTGACTTCAGACAGTTGTCCCAGAGAGATGGTCTCCCTGGCAACAGTTCTTAGGAATCCACTTTAAGAAATAGTGTCCTTGGTGCTCAGAGGTGAAGCAATCAGGGAGGGAGAATACTTCTAGGAGTAAAGAATGAATGCTCCAAGTAGACATGAGAAGGTAAACAGGGACTGGTGGGTGCCGGGTGGGGAAGGGGTCCCTGAGCTGCAGAGAGGGGAAAGGAGGAGCCCGATGAGGACTGACCCCCTCTAGTATTCCTGCTGGGACAGAGGGATCGGGAGCTGGAGACAAGGGTGCCTCGGTGAGCGTGGAACAGGGAAGAGCAAGGCTCCCAACTCTTGCCAAGTCCAAGGACTCCTCAATCTCCAAAGACAGGATGGGCATTGGGTGGGGTAGGGTGAGGAGAGGGGTGGGCCACCCTAGGAGGGGAACTTCCCTAGCCTGCCCCAGAGTCTGGTGGGCAGGCATGTGTCCACATGGGCGTGTGTAACTCAGTGTGACTCTGCCCCCTCTGCCTTCCTCCTTCTATGGCCATGCTGGGGCCAGACCTTGATGAGTGTCAGGTGGGGAACCTGTGCCAACATGCCTGCCAGAACACAGAAGGCAGTTACCAGTGCCTCTGTCCTGCCGGCTACCGCCTCCTCCCTAGAGGGAGAAACTGCCAGGGTGAGTAGGTACCCAGGGTGGGGCTAGGGGCGTGTTGGTATCTTCTGCTGTGTGCTCTTCCAGTCCTTCATACTCATCCTTCTGTGAGATAGGGCAGGGAGATGAGCTCAGAGGGGCCAATGTGTTGTTGTTGTTGTTATGTGCCGTCAAGTCGGTTCCAACCCATAATGACCCTGTACAGGGTTTCCAAGGCTGTAAATCTTTATGGGAGCAGAAAGCCTCATCTTTCTCCTGTGGAACAACTGGTAGTTTCGAACTGCTGACCTTAAAGTTCGCAGCCCGATTCATAACCACTATGCTACCAGAGCTCAATAGCCCACCCCAAACTCCCAGTCATGTGGGATTGGGCTAGAACCCACACTCAAAATAAGACAGGCTACAGACAGGCTCTGTAACCCTGGGATTACATCTAACTCCGCTGCTTGTCCTTAAGCAACTCAATTCACCTCTCTGAGCCTCAGCCTCCTTTGTGAAATGAGACTAACACAGCTACCCCCTCACCCTGCCCCCAAATGGCTCGGATAAGACATGTCGAATCTGACCACAGAGCAGCACAGCACCAACGCTTGCCACAAGGTGGCTGCTGGTCCACAAAGATTTGGTTTCCTTTTGGTTTTGGTTTGGTTTGGTTAACTGCCTGGTCAGGATCACTTTCCTTTGAGCCCAGCTCCACCTCTAATATTTTCCAGGGCTGCTTTCCCTAGAAATGGGACTCAGGCCTGCTAGACCTGACTCCATCCCTCAGTGTCTGTCCTGGGGATCAGTGAGCGTCTTCTGAGAAGGATGGGACTCCCAGTGGGATGGGTGAAGGTTGGGGGCCGCTCTGCCCATGGGCAGTGGACACTCTGATACAAGGACATAAATTGACCTCCCAAAGCAGCCTTCCTCTCTCCTAGGCTCTCTACTCTAGGGCTCCCATCATGTCCTTGGGAGATCGGAGGTGCTAAAGGTCTCAGGGCTGGCTGGGGGTCGGGGGAGAGGGAATTCCTGTCTCTGGGCCTCCAAAAGTATTTTTTTTCCTACTTCTCCCACTCTCTCCTCTGGTGGCTGTTTGGGCCCTTCTCCTTTGCTTCCTCTTTCATCTCCCTCTTCCCTTTGCTAACCCAGACATCAATGAGTGCGAGGAGGATGGCATTGAGTGTGGGCCCAGCCAGATGTGCTTCAACACCCGTGGCAGTTACCAGTGTGTGGACACGCCATGTCCTGCCACCTACCGGCAGGGCTCCAGCCCAGGGTAAGGGCTGAGTCAGTGAGGGGAGAGGGGACTGGGACCTTCCCCTCTGACTCCTGTGTGGCCAGACCCCACCTCCAGCCCACAGTCACACATGGTGGTGACATCTCAGGCCCCTGGCAGGGCGGTGTGCCTTCCTCCAATCACCCTGGGTGCCAGCAACTCTTGATGGGCAACACCAGGGGCTGGGAGAGGCTGGTGTTGGGAGAGAATGGGCCACCGGGAGGAGAGAACACACAGAGACACATGGGACATAAAGTACAGCAACATACTAACACACACAAAACCAGAGGATACAGAGATGCACCCAGACACACAAACACAAAAGACATCTCCTCCACACCACACACCAGACACTCATAAGATGCGTGGAGACTTGGGGACCTTGGTGAACAGAGTCACAGAGTTTAGGCAAGTGTTTCTGGAAACAAGGCTTGCCCTGGGCTTTACAAATCAGAAGTCCAGCCTGTAACTGAGACTCCCCTTCTATTCAGAGCTGTGATGTGACTCAGCCCTACCTGCCCCTCCCAGGTGGGCCTGAGGACTCTTAAGTTTTATGTGTGGCTACCTCTGGAGACAACTGTTCCGACAAGAAAGGGCACATCTCTGGCTTCTCTGGAACTCAGTTTGTTGATGTAAAATGGGTTTGCAGGCGCTTGAGAAGGCATTTGGTATATGAGTACCAACAGAGCACGGGGGAAGCTGGGGTGGGGAGAGCTCAGATTAAAAGATCACTTTATAATGCCAGGCGGACCCTGTTCCTATGGCAACCACGTGTCCCTCCGTGACCCCCGCAGGACTTGCTTCCGACGCTGCTCTCAAGACTGCAGCACGGGTAGCCCCTCCACGCTGCAGTACAGGCTGCTGCCGCTGCCCTTGGGCATACGTGCCCACCATGACGTGGCTCGCCTTGCCGCATTTTCCGAGGCTGGTGTCCCAGTCAACCGGACTGAGCTCAGCGTGCTGGAGCCGGATCCTCGCAGCCCGTTCGCACTGCGCCCGCTGCGCGCTGGCCACGGCGCCATCTACACCCGCCGCCCGCTCACCCGCGCTGGCCTCTACCGGCTCACAGTGCGCGCTGTGGCGCCGCGTCACCAAAGCGTCTTTGTCCTGCTCATCGCCGTGTCTCCTTACCCCTACTAAGGGAGAAGGGGTCATTGGCAGCGACCCACGGGGATTGGGGAAAGGAGCCAGCCCAACCCTCACCGCCTACACCTGACTGCAGACGGGACAGGGTAGCCCTTGCCCACACCACCTCGCTGTGGCAAGCAGAAATGTCATCTTCTCCCGTCCCTCCCCCCACCCCGTGCGTCAGCGAGACCTTCAGCAAACAGGACCCTGTGCTCAGCCTTGAACCCCAGGACAGCCGCCCTCATCCAAGCCTCATGGCCACACCCAGTGCCAGGTCAGGCAGGTGTCAAAGGCTACCTTGCTGGTGGCAGGAGCTGCAGGCCGGACTGACAGCTGAAGTCTGCAGGTTTGGTTGCCACACACCCCCATCCCACCCCTAGGTCTGCCCCAGAAGCTGGCTAGGACGCAGTGTACCTGTGGGGAGTACAACATACCAAGACATCTGAGGGGTGGGTTAGACCCTGTGGAGAGTGGTAGGTGCTGTCACCTGCCCACACCAAGCACTCTTATCCCAACTCTGCTGTGCGTGTATAATATAAAAACTAGTGTTCTTAACCAGCTTGATTTTTTTGTCCAATTATTTGCTCTGGTAACAGGAGCCTTTGGTGGGGAGGAAGACCACTACTCATCTGTTCTGGTCCAAGAGCACTGCAACAGGAGTCCAGCAGCCCCAGACTCCTTATGAGTAGGGTGGCTAGTCAGTCACCCTCTCTGGGCTCAGTTTTCTCATCTGCAAAATGTGAATAGACAAGATGTCCTTCCTCACACACACACACATACACACACACACACACACAGGGTTGTAAGAATTAAATGAGTACAGATAGCAATACACAGAAAAAAAAAATCATAATGAGTTTGAATGAATTAATTCAATTCACTCATTCATTCACCAAAGAGTCATTGAGTCTACTTACGTGCCAGGCAGTGAGCATTAAAATCCTCGTGGTAAGATTTTAATGGAAAGATTGGAAGGTATGGTGATTGAAGGGTAGTTTGAAAAGACAGGCCAGGATAGGTTTCATTGAGGAGATAGCTGAGCAGAGAGACCTGAAGAAAGTGAGGGAGAAAGCCAGGCAGACATCTGGGGGAAGTGTTCCTGGCAGAGGAGAACAGCAATATCAGGGCCTTCAGTCAGGAGTCCTAATGTAGCACTGTAGGATAAGCACCAACCACAACATAGGTTTGAACTGCAAGGTTGGCAGTTCAAAACTCACCAACTGCTCCTCGATAATGCTATGCAAGGTTGGTACTTAACAACAACAGGGAGGGAACAAGGACCCCCCCTGTGGCACAGTGGGTTAAGCATTAGGCTGCTAATTGTAAGGTCAGTGGTTCAAACCATCAGCTGCTCTGCAGGAGCAAGATGAGGCTGTCTGCTCCTGCAAAGATTTATGGTCTCAGAAACCCTATGGAGCAGTTCTACTCTGCCCTACGGGGTCACAGTGAGTCAGAATAGACTCGATGGCAATGGGTGGCAGAGAAGGGGCATGAAGTGACCCACAGGGACTCGGTTAATGCCTACAGCTGGAACTCCTGACTGAATCAGGCCAACTTACTCTTTCCCAGGGATACCTCCACTGTCAAAACTGGTTGGTCTCCTTTAAACTAGGAGTCTGCAAACTTTTTCATTTTTATTTTTTTGTAAAACATCAGATAGTAAATATTATTGACTTTACAGGACACAAAGTCTCTGTCACAACTACTCACCTCTGTCATTGCAACACCAAAGCAGTCACAGGCAACATGCAAACAAGCAGGAATGGCAGCATTCCAACAACATTTATGGATAATTAATTTGTGTGTGTATGTGTGTGTGTATGTGCTGTCGAGTTGGTTCCTACCCATAGTGACCCTGTACAGGGTTTCATAGGAGCGGCTGATAAGCTTGAACTGCTGACCTTGTGATTCAAATTGACTTTGCAATCCAGTGCATTAGCCCACAGTGCCACTTGAATGTAATTCGCACTTGTCATGAAATAGAATTTTGCTTTTGCCTTTTTCCAACCATTTGTGAACATTAAAACCATTCCTAGTTTTAAGAAGCTGCCCCCTGGTTTAAGCCAAAGAAGTCACTCAGGGTGGAATTTCCTATTAGGAGGACGAGAGATTTTGGGAAGGAGGGCAAAAGTAAGGAGGGCCTACCAGACTCTCCCAATGCCCTATATGCCCAGGGCCCCTCTATGAGAGCTTTCCTTGTGCTGAACACCCTTCTTTGTGTAAACCTTAGGCCCATAGATCACAACTGGAGTCCTGCCATTTTCTGGCTAGTTGTTTGTGCATCTAGGGAGTTTGTAGCCCAGGGAGAGAAACAGGTCAGAGGTTGAGGTCTGAGGAGGGATGATACTGACCCCCTTCTCACCTGCTTACCCCTCATCAATTTCACCCAGGCCCTTCCCATTTGCTGAGCTGCCATTTGAGTCCCTGTCCAATGCCTATTGACCCATTAGGTTGATTTCATTCTCCTAGAGGCAAGAAATAATATCACCATTTCATAGACAGGTCCACTATCACATAGCTTAGATGTGAAAAGAAAGACTTAACCCAGATTTGTCTGATGGCAGCGCCCAGGGCTCTCATCAACTCCTACCTCTACTCTCTACCTAAGAAGGAGGATGGAGGGGGAGAAAAAGGGCCAAGATCAGAACCAAGGAGCTACAAAGGGAAGAGCCCATTCAGTACAGACCACTTCCTCTCCAACCTTCTTCTCCTTTTCCTATTTGATGTGACAAAATGGAGGCCTAAGCAGGAGTGACTTGCTCAAGGTCATGCTGCAAGCCAGTGGCAGAACCAGGTCTTGAACCTAGGCTCTGACTCCTAGTTCTAAGCTCACCGCACTCCTCCCTGCCCACACCTATGAGGGACCACTCAATAGAGGAGAGCCAGCTCTGAGAGGTCTGTTTTCCACTGCTGCTTTTCTAGCTGCCTGCTGTCATTGGCCAGGGCTCCATCCAGCTGCCCAGCCCCCTTGCACTTCCTGACCTCTGAGGCTGTTGTTCCTTCTGGGATGGAAAACAGTCCCACAGGTCACTCATTAAACCCTCTGATGCAGCTTTTCCATGAACCCAACCACTGGACTCTGTGTTCCTCTGGGTGAGGACTGGCAACCTGGGTCTAGACTGCAGGACACTCTCTGTTCCTAGGGCCAGCAAAGTGGCTCCTGGTGCCAATGATGAGAAAGCTACAGGACAAAGTCCTTGCCGTTTCTGTATACCCAGGCCTTTCCATGACCAGCAGGTACAGGGACTTTGTAGCGGAGAGAGACAGAAGGCAGGATCTCTGTGTCAATAGGCTGCTTGGAAAATGTAAGAGATTCCATCCATTGAACTTGTCCTTCAGCACGTCAGACAAATGGCCATAAAAGTCAGAACCAGAAGATGCCCAACTACCAATATTGAACACTATCATCAGATTCAATAGAAGCATCCTGACCACAGGGAGAAAATGCAGAACAGAAATTCAAATTCTCATGGACTCCAGACTTTCAGGATCCATAGAGGCTGAATGAATCCCTGATTCCATTGACCTGAGATCATCTTTAAACGTTAAACCAAAAATATTCCCCAAAGTTTTCTTAAAACCAAGCAATAGTGTAGCTTAACTAACTGGTAACCAATGTCTGGCTTGAGAATCATGGCCTTTAAGATTTATTTAAATGGCATCAAATTAACTACAGCAAAGACTAGATAGGAACCTTAGGGGACAGTGAGTTTATGTTAACAGGGACGGGAGACAACTCAGAAAAGGAAGGTGAGCATGGTTGCACAGAGTTATTTTGGAACCCATCTATAATCAGAATCACTGAATTGTACATGTACAGGTAGAAACTGTTGAAGTGATGTATGTTCTGCTGTGTGTATTCTCAACAGCAACCACGAAAATAAAATATAGAT